ATCACGCCGGCGCCCCACAACAGCCTTTGAACTACGAGCAGCTCGAGGACTTCAGAATAGTATATTGAAAAACGCGCATTTTCCATGTAAGGTAGAATCCAAATTCATTAGTAAATCGGCGCACTTGCAAATTCCTTAGGAGATCTATTTAACACGAGGCTGTGCACCTCAGCTGCTGCACACCTAGCAACCCACAACATTAGGTAAGCCGCAGGGTAAGGCTGTCAGCCGTCTGCTGTCCTTGCACAGGCACCTTGCGCCACAAATTGGATGACCACATAGCAACATAGCAATACAGCAGCGAAGTATTAACATGGTCCCTCGAGTGCCGACAGACCTTGCCGGCGGCCCCGGCGACGAGGAGAACTGCTCGGACTACCCGCGCCCGCCGGACGCCGTGGTGTGCAACGACCGGCCGTGCGAGAACTACCGGCGGGCCATAGGCGCGTGGGGCAGCTGTGACAAAGCCTGCGGCGGGGGTGTGCAGCGCCGGGCGGTGACGTGCCAGAAGGCGGACAACGGCGTTTTCGTGCCCGCGGAGAACTGCCCCGGAGACGACCTGGAGACCGAGCAGGCTTGCAACGCCGACCCGTGCACGCTCTTCTATTGGGAGCTTGGATTCTGGGGCAGGTAGTGCAGCTGGTAGCCTGTCGTAATGAAATTGTTAGTTCAGTCAGTGTAGATTAGTGGTCGAAAACAGTCCTGAAGTGTTTCTTCAACATAGAATTGTGCCCTATGCAGCCCATCTCAGTCGTGCACGGCGTGCGCTGCTTTGCCAGTGGGTGCATGTTTATCGACATTTGCATGTGTCGACATTGGCGAATGTCACGGGCACTGGACTATTGGTCATATTTCTCCGTGCTCAGTGCCCTTCCTTCACTATCTTCATCAGCAACGCCGCAACTCACCGCCCTCTCAGTTTTCAGGCAACGTTCGGCGTGGTTGGGAGAAACAAAGGTGTCCCCCACCGTGCATGCCCCCGTTCCCCAATATGCTACTGGTGCGCCACTGCGTCCCCATGTTATTGCGGATAGTAAAGCGGATGTCTGACCTAGAATCGAACCGGGTACCGCTGATGGGATGTCCCACTGCTCTACCAGCACCACCCGCCCAGCGGCAAGGAAGAGGGCAGTCCAAACCCTCAAGCAACCTTTTGCCCAACAATCGCCGTCGCCCGAAGCGCCGCCTAAATCAATGTTCGCCTTTTGCGGCAAGGTGCGACCGACAGTGCAGCACCGGCAGCTTGAGGGGCCAGATGCACAGGCCGGTGTCCTGCCACTTCATCGACGGGACGGTGCAGCAGCGGACCTACAAGTGCCCGCCCCTGGAGGAGGCCTCCGCGAGGGAGTGCAACACCCAGGAGTGTCTCACCTTCGCCTGGAAGCCCGGTGCCTGGGGCCCCTGCGGCGGCGACTGCAGCGGGGGCGGAAAACGCAGGTGCAACAGCTGACACCAGAGGTGACCGTCTAAATCCCAGCACGAGATCGGCGGCGCACCCGCGAGCGCAAGTTCCATTCCATCAGCATATATTCTATATAGATGTTCTATATTCTACGTTTTACATTTATTCTATTCTTAATTCTACATTCTATATGGATATTCTATCAGTTTGGTGAATTGGAAATTTTGCGCTGTTTCAATTGGAGTTGATGGAGTACTGTCAACAGCTGGGCGCATAAAGAAATGATGAGGAATTGCGTTAAACACAGAGATGAATGGACTGGATATAAGGGACAGAACTCCTGTTGTCCCTAGCCCTGCTGTGAACCTTTGCCGTGGACTGGAGCCTACGGTACCCGTTCAGGGGCCACCACCCCTCGACCCTGCCTGCGCTCGTCGGCACAATTTGCCCCAGGTTTAGATCAGGTAGTCGCAATATCTTCTGGAGAAAAGCAGAAATTTTTGCAGCATGTTTTGGCTAGCATCATTGATGCAACGCCGAAACACGCTGCCATATTGCGCGAGCACCGACGTTTGCTGATGAGTTGAGCGGCATTGAATAATTGCAGAGCAGCTGGAACATTGCACCAACGTCCACCCTTTTCCCACGTGATGGCGCCCGCGCTGTGGCAGCGGTGGTAATGGTGTTCGTCTTGAAGCCTTCCGAGTTGTTGTTTGTCTTGATGACCAATGATTTGGGGGAAGCTCTGGGAAAATTGGGGCTGTTGATGAATTTGTGGGAATTGGAGAGCTCTGGGACGGGAATGCGCGGCCAGCTGGCCAGTCTGCAGCCAGGGGTGCTGCGCGGCGATGTGGATGGAACCTGTGAGCACTGCCAATGAATGCGGCTTGGGCACGCTAGTTTGAGGCGGTGACAAGATGTCCAGAGTCCTGACTCTCATTAATAAAAAACAGGCCAAATACATGGTTCTCAAAATAGTGCACCATGTAGCACTACTGAAAATCGTGTGAACGTCGCGTTAAATCGTGTATTTATCGTAACAAATGGGACCAAACCGTGTAGTAACGATGGTGTGAGTGAAATTATTTTTGCACGTTCTGACACTGTTTACACAATTCTATACGGTTCGAAACCGTGCACTTTGGCCGATTGTTGCTTGTGTTTCGCGACTAAACAAAGGCGAGTAGCGCCCTGGGTGGGGAGCACCAACGATATTCTGCTGCTATTTGCGTGCATTCGCTTCGTCGGAGGAGACCCAGCCGTCCACGCCAGGATGTCCTCTGGTCGTCGTCTGGCACTAATTCTTTGCATTGTCTTGCCCAGCACCAGGCGAAGACGATAGGAACATATGCATAAATTATGAATATACACACCCGCTTTGATACTCCCTGTTGGTGGAAGGTGATTTGCCTGGCCCCCAGCTTGAGCTCGGAAATTTGAGCGCGAATTCGACCTTTCATCGGCCCGCAAAGCCCTTAGGTGGTACCCAGTCAGCTCCATGACTCAGCGCATTGCCGTTTCTGCATTGCAAAGCTCCTTTGGCGATGGGAAGTCGTCCAGCAACGGAATTGAGGGCTCAGCCCTCGCAGCCATTGCGCATTCGACAAGAACGTGGCGTCGGGTGACAGTCCAACGGGCGCTTGAGGTTGCCCACCTCCATGGTTGGATTGTGGCAATGCCTTGGGCTCTTGTGAAACAATTCATGGACACTGTTGTGCTCGGGGAAAATAAGGAGGTGGTGGCTGCCTCCTCGCCCTGATATGCAGGAGTTCTTGATGGCGACGATGATTGGCCATCTGTGCACAGGACGCGCAGCCTCGAGTGTGAGACCTCTCAGGGCATCTCCGTCCGGTCGGAGGCCTGCTCGTCCCACCTGCGCATCAGCCCCGCGTCCGAGCAGGACTGTGGGGACCGCGCCTGCGACTTCTGCCAGAAGTACCGGTGCATGTGGGAGGGGGTCTGCGAGGACGGCCGCTGCCAGTGCCGCCACGGCTTTGGGGTGCGCTGCACAACAATTAAAAACACTGTTTTGAGCTTGCTTTTAACATTGCCTTTGCGTTGTTTTAACCTTAGTTTTGACATTGTTTCAGCATTGTTGGGGCAAAAATGATGAGAGGTTTGGTATTTTGTATTTCTCTGCTGTACTTTTTGGGTGGCTGCAATGCCACGCGCAAGCCAAGGGCAGCATCTGGGACGGCACAAAATTCGATATGCCGTATTTCAATCACCGCGAACAGGCCTTGTGTTGAAGCAAGCCCTTGCAGGCAGCTGCAAGCGGGCGGTGCCCCACGTGCATTCGGCAGCCTCCCACCGCCCCCCGTGATTTGCAGTACTTGGCTGCATGCATTGATGAAACAAATGCGAGCAATCACACACAGCAAATGTGTGCATCGGTGTATGTACCGTTTGCAATTGAATCCCAAACTACAGTTACAAGTAACCCTTACATGCTTGACCCCCATCCTGTGCAGGGCACATTCTGCGAGCTGCCTGCCGACTGCCCCGGTCTGATGGACGTGGACGGTTTCTGCTGCCACAGTGGCATGACCGACGCCAGGGGGCGCTGTTGCATAGCCGGCTACGTCACAGATGTGGTGGGGACATGCTGCAGCAGCGAGCGTCTCGACGCCTGTGGCATGTGCGACGGCCTCGGAACCAGCGTGGACGTCAGGGGCGTGTGCTGCAGGGCACCCGGCAGGCTGGATGCCGCTGGTGAGCGCCAGTCGCTGGCGACTTTATCAGCACTCGCACCTTTGATGACATTGACATGACGTTGACGCGTCATTGACATCTAAGATCTGTACATCAGAGGTACCCTAAATGAAAAGAGAGTTTAACACTTTACCAAAATCGTTTGGAGCTATCTAGTTCGGTGCCTTGCTGCACACTTTCCCGAGGGCATTGGAGCGTGCTGAGTACTATCTTCTTTCCTGTAAGGAGGTGTCCGGCGAGCTAATGTACGGTATCTGACGTGGGGAATGCTTCTCTTCATTCCAAAATATTGCATCAGGTTCAAAGGACCAATCCCCCCCCTCCCCCACCCACCCCGCCAAAACAATGTGGGCCTTGTGCCACATAGCAAGAAATGCAAGGCCATTTGGAGCCCCCCCAAATGTTCGTGTCACCCACCCATTTGGTGGACCTCTTCTCTTCGCCGGCAGAACCTGGGGCTTCTGCCCTCAGGACAGGTACCCACATTACTTGACATTTCTCATGGGTGCTGCCTGTGCTGTCACAGCTCTGCTTTCACCACATTCTTCGAAACTGACGAAGCCCTGTCCATGCACCTTCATCATCACTAGCAAAACAAGGACCAAATAACACTTTTTGCGAACACACATGCATGCATTTCATTACTGTTCTGCATGCTAAAAACACGAAAACAGCACAAACCCGTAACCTTTGTGCACGTTTGAACACGTGCTATTTGGCGAATTTTTTCCTCATGCCATGATGCCTCCAAGGAACGCATAGTTCGACAATTTGAGCCATACATTTGTGGATCTACTGCCGATGGATTCTGTGAAATGCAGTTTGGCAGCACTGCCTGACAAATCATGCCCATGCATCTTGCAGTCGATGAACAGCAGGGCAACATTCAAGCAATGTATGTTCGCGCAGGGATCTGCTGCGACCATGGGAACCTTGACATCTGTGGTGTCTGTGGGGGCGACGGCACGACCTGCACCATCACCTCCTCCGTGATGCTGGACGCCAGTCGGACGCGCGACGATCTGCAGGCGATGGTGTCCTCAGTGGACACGTACAACAAACTAGAGGCGCACCTCCGTGAGGTGCTGGCATGCAGAACGGGTAACGGAGCCACGCAGCCCCCTCTGCCCCACTCCCTCTTTGCAAACGCCACTGGCACCACTGTCAGGGGCCCAGGCTTGTGAGTTGTGGACCTGTTTTGGCAACCTGCTGCTTCTGGGTGGGAAATGGTGTTGATCGTCCATGCAACCTGACTGACAACGTGGCAGCAACATACACCTGTTGCACATCTCCTTGAAAGTGCAAGATTGGTGATTCGTCTCAAGTTTCCAACTACAATCAAACAGATGTCCTCTGACAAACCTTCACTCCAGCCGTTGATCGGTACAAAGTCATTGCTATGAACGCAGCAGGAAAATGTGGACATGGTGCAATAACTATGATGGAATGCCTGGACTGGTGATCCGTCATTGCCTTGATCTGTTTGGCCACCCCACCAGCAATTGCTCATAATTGTCACCACCGACCTGCTGGCTCTATACAGCTCTGCACCCAGCCAGAGCTTCCCAAAAGGCAACATATCAGTCTACTCAGCAGCGTGGGGTACAAAACTGATTGCCAGCTCCGAGCATTAGGTGCCAGTGGCGATGGCATACACACTGACGTCAGCTTTGCCCTTGGAGACATCACTTGAAAAGGAAGAAGGGAGGGAGGATGATTACTTGTTCAGATTACTTCATCAGCTCCCACACTGCCAAAATATCTCAAAACATTCTTGTCCAGATCTATGGGTGGGGTTGGGGAATGGAGTCCCAATGCATTGGCACGCCATTCTGCCCTGCCCTTCTCTACGAACGAATGAACAGGCACAAACAAACACTTTGGATGTGCACATTGCCCGTCATCGCCTGCAGTGCACAAAGCCTCCGGTCTATCTTGCAAAGGCAACTACATTTCAGGCTACCCCGCCCCCCCCGCCCCCCCCACCCCCCCACCCCACCCCCACCCCCGCCCCTTTCCCTTTTGCGTTGCTCATGTTGTGCGTTCATCACTTCGCACTGGATAATCTCCACATCATCTTCTCACAGAGTGGAAAAAGAGTCTCACACGCACTTGCTCAGGAGGGGCTGCCCTTTGCATGAACCGTGTCTCTTCCTCTCTCCAACGCGAATGAATGAATGAAGTTCCTTACAGGCACTGTGAAAATCGATACACTGGTCACGTCCCGCGTCTCTGCTGAAGTCAGATAGTCAAACAGGTCCCTCCGCCAGTAGTCCATAATGACGTCACAATAATTTGCAAAAACAGGGTTTCTTAAATCCCTTCCCAACAGCACCATCCTCTTTCTAACAAATCCTGTCCTCCCCCCCGGCCCTAAAAGAAAGGGTTTTGCCCTGTGCATGACATACCATCTCTATTTTTTTGACAAATCTTATTCTCTTTCCAACACATCCTATTTGGAATTGGTAAACCTGCCCATTGTGTGACATACTTTCTCTAATTTGTAACAAATCTCAATCCCCAGGCCTGCCCCGGGACTGGATCTTCACCCAGGAGGTCCAGCTGGGCACGTCTGAGGAGAGCGCCCTAGGGCCGCGCCACACTCTCCTGCGGGCGGATTTCCGCTTCCGCATTCCCCCGTCCGCGGACCTCACCTCCGTGGACGTCTCGCGGGTCGCGACCGCGGAGTCGTTCGCCGCCGGCCTGATGGCGCCGTGTCAGTGGGAGGGCCTGCTGGGCGGCGGGGTGGGGCTGGGGCGCCTGGCGGCGGTGGAGGTGTCGTCGATCGTCGCGCGGGGCCAGTGCGGCAACGGGCTGTGCGAGTGGGGCGAGGGGCCGGACACCCGGTGCGCGGAGTCGGACCCGGCGTGCCGGGAGCGCGGCTGTGCGCAAGACTGCCCCTTCCCGTGGATACCCTGCCCGGAGGCGCCTGCAGGTGACGGGGACTCCCTTGCACTGGTGCGACGGGAGGTGTGGGAACGCTTTTGTTGCATCCTTGTTGCATTTTTTACTTTTACTTTATTGTTTTATTGCATTTGTCGCATTTTATTCCACCTCATTGCGTCTGCTGAGGTTTTTTGTGACTTGCAAGACGCATTCACTGTATTCGTCCACAACGCGTTCGATTTGTGCGGGAATGTTGCAGTTGAAATACTTTGGTTATTCAGATGTCAAATCTGCACGCTCCAAAACCGTGATATGGACCAATGGGCGAGCCGCTGTGTCTTGCAGGCTGCTTTTGCACTTGGGCACGTGAAGGAAACGAGTGCCACGCAATACGAACCAGCACAGGGTGGAAAGGCCTACCGTAGTCTATTCAAACCATCCTCCTCAAAAAATCTTACCACTAGGCCTTTTGCTCCGCCTTTTGTTTTCAGAGCGTTATTTTACTTTTTTGCGCCGCTCCACAAAAAAATTTTAATAAAAGGCGCCATTTACTTTATTGTTTTCTCCGCAAAGAGGGCGACGCGTTACGTTACTATGCGGAAGGGTTGAATATACTATGGTAGAGGCCTGTTGCACTTGCAACACTATTTTTCGCATGATTGGCCAACGTTTAGTACCATACAATACTTGGTTGTACCATGCTTTCCTGGTAATGTGTTTTGGTGGCTTTTGCCTCGTTCGCCAACGACGTGGAAATGAGTTCCTCTAAAGCCTTGCCCAGCACAGTAGAAAACAGCCTGTTTGCGATGCCAACTGCGTTGCCATCTGACAGAAATTGATACCATCGCAGCCCCTTTTATGCCATCGCAAACACTGTGACAGCATCAATTTGTGTCAAAACGGCATCGGAGCTGGTATCGCAAACATGGCGTTTTCTACCAGTGCAGGTGGGGGCCGGGGGTTCCAGCAGTGGGGCCCGTTTTATAATTGGGTGCATAAAAGTACCAAAGTAGGTTGTTTTTCGATTTGGATGAACAAAAGTACTGAAACGTGATTTTGTCGGTGTTGTGGTCACCCGGGGCGCAGATAACGGGCAGCTGGCGGCGTGCTCCGGGCGGGGCAAGTGCTACCACGCCAGCGGCAAGTGCGACTGCTACACCGGCTACACCGGGGACAAATGCGACAAGTGCGCCTCAGGCTGGATTCGATTCGGCCATCGGTGCGCGAAGCTCAGCATTCCCTATGGGGTGAGCGCAAATTGAGCGGTGGTCCGGTGCATCAGTGTGTGCGAGTCAAGAACGTCGGTCACAATCAGGATCCTGACCGACCTCACTAAGGCTAATATTCCCTAAACTATAAATATCATTCATGGCCCATTCATCGCTGTCATGGAATGTGATTTGCGCCAATAACGCGCAACAGTGAGTGCATGGATGATGCTCGACGGTTCGCAAACAGAACGGTGTGCCTTTTCCACAAGTTCTATTGGATCCTGGCCTCGATGAGTTGCTGAAGACTGGGCGTTAGTGCCGTGTTGTGTGTTGACAGCGAGAACAAATTTCAAATTAGAATTAATTGTCAAGATATTGAATCTGGTGGGTTTGGCGTGAACGGCAGCAGATTCGCCACTTCGTGCTGTTGGCCATTCTAAGCAGTGTCCAGTCATCCTAGCTGGAGAATCAACTTTGAAATGACAGAAGCGACATCTGCTGAACGCGATGTGCTTCTGTTTTCCTATCTAGGAATTATTTTGCCAGCCAGGACTCCCTTATTAATTGCAATTAGGATAATTTGCCTAATTGGGAATTGTTTTGCTGATCAGGAACTGTGCCCTCAATAGCCAATTGTTCATCACATTCGGGCAAAACCACGGCTGGTTATAACCAGCGTTGCCATTCGTAATTACGAATGGCATCATATACAGAGTGCATTTTCTTGGCATTTGAGTTTATGAAGAGCACTCATGGAAATTTTGTGTTCTGTGAAATTTTTGCTCAGACTGGCGCTCGACGCCGTTCAGTAGGTGGCACTGCAAGGAGCGGCACTTTTGCTTTGGATAAATGCAACCGACGGGTTCAGTACCTGCGTTCTTTCTATTCGACGGAAAGAGCGGTTTGTTCAAGCATGAATTCACATAATGAGCATGACATTATGGATGTATACGATGCTACAGATCTAAGAACTGTGCAAGATGCAGCACCTCGCAACACACGAGCAGTGGAAATTTTGCCCATTTCGAAATGGGCTAACTGGTGAAAATTTGCATGGAATAATCGCATGGAATTCTGTGACGCCCTCACAGGTGTTGATCAATCCTGACAGTGAAGAGGGCTTCGTGCGGCCGCCGGGAGCCGTATCAGGAACTGGAGAGGATGCGGAGGATGAGGCCGACCAGGTGGTGTCCAAGGACATCACTAAACCCGTCATTTTGGCGGTGTCCATATCTACCAGCGCTGGAGGTGTCGCCTTGCTGACTTGGTGCTGGTGCAAGCGGAGGGAGAGGAGGTGAGGAGATGACTCCAACGGCGCGTGCCACTGGCAAGGACATGCCCATTTTACACGGTTTCTAACTGTGTTGCAATTGTGGCAAAGTGGAGGGAATCGTGTAATTGAAGCATAGAACTGCCTGAAGCAGGACCAAATCGTGTTAGTAACACATTGGCAACACGGTGTTACCTGGACCGTGTTTCTGGAGACATTTTTTTGCAGGTGTGGGGTGTTGGGGTGGGGTTGCCTTGTATTCTTTTTTCTTCCCCGGAGGAAAGCACTGGACGCAGGCCCGAGATCTCGGGCTCGAATGCGGTACCAACTTCAATTGAAACTGCGCAAGCTGGTGCACTGGCGTGGACCGCACTTCGATTTGGAATGTGTACGCGAAGCAGGGCACGGCGTGTCAAAACGCCGTGCATAAAATTTTAGGCAGCTGCACTCCCTGTGGTCTGGTTGGCAACAGCAACCGACAGGTGTGTGTTGAAGGGCAAGGGGTGCGCATCCCGTGCCGTCCGATGGTACGCAATTTACGTATTTTCCGCAAGTTCTGAACAAGCGCAGCAGCTTAGAAGCGAGTGTTTGACGAATTCGATTTTCAGTTGAAAAATTCGATTTCGAGACAGGGCGTGCACAGTGCGTTATCGGCAGCTACTTGGCAGTTTACGGGAAACATCGATGATGCGAATTCCCCACCTATCCGTTCATTCGGAAGCGAGCAATTTCAAGGAGGCAAATGGTGCTCACTGTGCCCTCAGCACACACCGACCGCAAGGCTCATTACATGCTCTTCAGCATGACTGTTTAACGTTTTCTCAGGTGCGCGCCATTCTTCTCCAATGCTGTACAGCTTTGGTGGGTGGAATCGCTCAAGTTGTTGGGACATTCAGTTCAATTTGAGCAACTTTGGCGTAGATACGCCACTTGGCGATGGCATAAACTAGCCTCAAATGGCATCGCACTCAGCATCGCAGTAATGTCGGTTTTCTATTGGTGCACAGGGCCACGGACAACTACAACAAATTCCAGTCTGAGAGCTCATTCCAAGAAGAACTTGCGGACATCGCCTCCGTGATTTCCAACAGCGGTCTGGACGACGCCTTGCTCGTCCGGAGGCTATCGCCGAGGAGGACTGGCGCCGCGAGGTGGGAAGCGGAGCGCCAACGCCACCGGCACCCTCACCAGTGATCTTGCTATCGGTGTCTACGGCACCATTTTTGCTTTTTACGTTTCACGTGCAGAAACGCGTAAATAAGGAAACGGCCTTTCTTCCAGCCATATTTACGCATTCCACGGCTCACTGACAAACCCAGGTCCCAAAAAAATGATCTGTCCTCCGCTCTCTCGAGCGCCAACAACTCAGCGTCCAACTCGCCCTCGGCAATGGCGGTGACGTCATCGAACAAAGGGGCGCCTTCTGCCCACTCCAGCGCGTCTGGCTGACACCCCTCGGAACCCCTGAATCTTTGTGTGCTGTCTTCATGCACAAAAGCCATTTTACGCATTTTGGCGCCTGTTGACGCGTAAAAACGTAAAAACTACTTTCACGCGTAAGTATGGGTAAACGTGCGAGCATTTACGCCGCAAATAACAAGCCTGCTCCTTACTGCATGTAATCATCAATCATTCATCCAGTTTAACCAGCCCATCAGCAATTCATCATTATTCATGAAGGCAGTGGCTTAAAACCAGCCATCAGAGTGAACCTCGGGTAAATTTGGGTAGAGTGGAAAGTCCCCAAAATGGCGTAGCACGAAGCTGAACCATGCGATAGGGGCCTATCAGCCGTGTCACGGATGGCGCTGGGCGAGTGTGACATCCTGATAGGCACTGAGACCAGCGGGCCCCCAGCTGCCAACCCATCACAGTGGCCTGCTGCATTGCCATGAATTTGTTCAGAAGTAGAAACGGGCTCTGATGCATTCATAACCTGAAGGAAGTTAACCTATATTAGTTATACATTGGTCATTGTATGTATTATGCGCTTCGATATAGGTCATATGCTGGTTATTACATAAGTTGCATGTGTGCAACGACATCTGGGTTCCCACGTTTCTGTGTACCGGGACACGCAGCCATAGGGCAGGTGGAGAACCAAGAAATCAAAAAGACCGACCGTGAATAGAGATTCTCTATTCTCTATTCTCAGCTCCTGAAGCTGACCTCCGAATCGTTGCTACTCACCATTCTTCACTTCATGTCACGTACAAATATTTGTGTTATAACGCAAATTCTCAACTTCATGGCTGCACAAGTGGCAAGCCTGCTTGAATATGACGATGATTGCCGCCCTTTTCTCGTGCGGTCTGCTCAATTGAGTCGCAACGGACACTGCTCCTCCAGGCAAGATGGGCCGGACCTGTCCATCCTCGCAGCAGAGTTGGCGGGCCTCAAGACGGCGGGCCGCAAGAAGTCGTTCCCCGCCCGATCCCCTTCCTCAAACGCCACTTCAAAGTCCAGCCGAAACTCCCACGGCGCTTGACGACAGACGACTGTGCAAATGGGCGACTGCCCGCGCCGCCCACTTGTCTGTTTAATTTGCAACAGATTTCTTATATCTTAGATTTCTTGTATCAGATTTCTTATTTCATATTTCTTTCTCAGGCCCTGAGAGGCAGTCCCCGCACAGCAGCCTGGCCGCGCTTTGGAGGCGTCGGGTGACTGGGGCGGTCGGGACAATGCCTGCATTGCAATTCTCGACTTTGCAGGACAGCGAAAAACGGCAGCCATGCACGTGTTTGGCGGGAGGCGAGTGCGCCCGGCACAGCGCATGTCCCACATAGAAAATGGCTTTCAGGGAGACCGGATGGAAGTCAGGGACGATGAGTCCAACCCATTGTTGATTCAAGGGCGTGGGGGGAGAATTGCTGCCACGGGAAGTGGGTATGCGAATTGTTGCTGCAGTGGGCCGCGGGATGGGCCACGCTGGGAAGAAGAAGTTGGGGCGACCGATTCGAGATCAGCGTCCATTGTGCAGCCCTGCTGGTGGTGCAAAGCTGCCTCAGATGGTGGCAGATGGAGCGAAGCCGCAAGGGTTTCGCCGCTGCAAGCTTAAAGAAACAGCGGCGTTCAGCCTTAAATTGGTTTATTCACTAATTTACTACGCAGTGCAGACAAAATCCATCAGATTTCGCTGTCACCAATCATGCACGGCACATCCCCCACCCCACCCCATCTCTGCTCACTCAACTCAACTCGGCAATGCACCTATCAGTTTCCAAAACCTAAGTCTCGCCTAAAATTCAGTGACCATTCAATGACCCCTTGCTGCTAACAGGCTGAATGCACGTGGGTCGCTGCCCCACACAGTGCAGCATTTCAACTCACGCAGTCCGAAGAATGAGATGCACCCCAGAGTCGGAGATCACGGGTTGGCTGAGCTCATTGACTTCCAGAGCGAAAGTTGCATCTTCAAAAGCCTTCTGCATTTGCCCAGGCCTGTGACCGTACAAATGACAAACCAGTCGCTGTGAGTGTGTGGTAGAATCATGGCCACTGTGCCAGTAGGCACCATTTGCCACGGCAGGATGGAAACAACATGCCAAATGCGAAACAGCCAACACATATCTCGTGTACGCACGTTCTGTGCAGAACTTTGGGGGTGGCCGCACAACAACCTGCAATGCAAAGGAACAGTGGTTGATGGCAGCGCGACCCACGGCCTGTGCATAAAGGGCAGTTCCTGGTGGTGTCTTTTGGCTCGCGGAAGGCGCACTGAAACAAGGTGGACTCTGGTGCTTCCCAACCACAGTTTGGTGCCCAGTGATGAACACGGCACAATGCATTGAGTTCCATAGAACATTCCTGCGAACAACACCAACAGCAAACACGATGCAACAACGAGGACAATGTCCATAGGACTGATGGCAGAACAGCACTTCATTAAGGTATATGTGCCTCAGGCGTAAATCTTTCTGCACTGTTGTACTGTGATGTTCCTGCATGGCCTCTGTGCTCACCCAAATGGGCCCAGATCGCCTCCCCGCCTTGCGCTGCTACAATCACTTTCTGTTGATGCAATCTCCTTGAAGTCTGCCTGTCCGTTCACTATGAGCTCACGGAAGCCCTGCACAACGCAACATCGAACACCAATTCAGTGGTATTACGAATGGCAAATGGACTCGTTGTCTAGCAGCATGCGACAGGAAACATACACTAGCCCAAGAAGTGTCCACACCTCTTGTTTCATGCTGCACCTCTTAATGCTTACTCATCTGCAGCGTTTGATTCTGAATAGTTCACAACAGTTGCTACACATAGCACAGGGAGCATATTACATACAACAACGCTGGGAAACTTGCCAATGTCTCACAGTCTCCGGCAGTGCATTTGCAGAGTTGAACAGACGAAACCACGTGTTAGTGATGCAAGCAACAATTAGGGAACAAACCGTCTGACTCCAACCTAGCTCTTGGTGAAATTTCCACCAACCACCAGGGAAATGACAACATATGGCTCCCAGAATCTCACCAAATTCCAGCTCAGGAAGGGTTGCCTGTTCTCTCATTGGCCAACAGTTAGCTCCACCACAGACCCATGAAATTTTTCTCCCATGGTTTCTCATGCACTACACAGGAAACAACAAGACCTAGCAATTGTTAGCATGTACTTATTGTCAATGTTACTTTCCAGCAGTATGTAGTGGTACTTTCTTGTGCAAACTTTCCTGGATGGGTACTGGTAGTAACCATCATCAAGTGTTAATTGTAATAGAATTGAACCAATGCAGCGACCAAGGCAGAACTGCAGAGCTGAGAGCCTGTGCATCAAGAGCTGACCTTTATAATTTCCATTGCCTCTTCCTGTGTCCTCATGATGACTGGAGACTGCACGCAGACAGAAGTTATCAATGCAAAGCAGTGAGACATTTTCAATCAATTTGAACACCTGCCCATTTGGAACCATCGTTTGTCAAGCTCTGGAGCTAAATTGAAGAGCCCTGTGCAATTGCCAGACTCCCACTTGAGCCCACACCATACCAGCATATGTCCCAGGAGGGGTGCAGCAGAAGGCAAGGGCAGACATGATCAAGTGGATCTATCCTCCCGGGTGATGCACAGGCTCGACTTCATCAACAATGCCATGGAGGCAGAACTGGGTCCCTTACCTTCCAGGACTTGGGCCTGCGGGAGTCTTTATGCTTCACAAGAATGTGTGATGCCTGCACACACATGCTCTGATGTCCTTTGCTTCCAGCAAGTTGTTCTTCCAAACTCGTTGCCCTTCTCTTTTCAGCTGAAGGCATCCACACAAGCAGCGGTAAGCAACAAAGTTGATGCCACACATTTCCAGTGTGGCTCCCTTCAAGAATGGTGAGATTGGTTGTGCATGGATATTCCAAAATCTCCAGTACCGCTGCAGCACAGCGTGCTGCCACACAAAGGCAGTGGAGGCCATTGCACAGCCATTGCACAGCAAACAAGAACAGCAGAATAAGAATGATGAATTGCGATTGGCAGGTTTCAAGACAACTTTATTCACAGTTGCCTCTTTGTGCTACTGTTGAGTCAATACTCATGACAGTTCTTCTGTGGCAACTTGGGGAGAACATGGGATCATTTTTCTCCTTTTTCGACACCAAAATCGTGCATCATCTGTCCCAAAACTAATGTCATGAATGTCTTCACACCACAATTCTGGCACTAAAACTACAGGTGAGCATGGGTTCAATCCAGTCCAAATTTAGGTTCAGCCTGGTTCACGCTCAGGGGAGGTGTAACCTAGTCCAACTTGAGGCTCAACGTAGTCCAAATTGAAGTTCGACAACGTCCACTGCCCAATGCCCTTCATTCTCATATGTCAAGGTCATGAACGTCTCCTTCAGGTGTCTGTAGGGCCCTGGTTCTGGGTTTTGTATTTCTTAGGTTAGGTTTTAGGTTTTATGATTTGGAGTGTTTTGGTTTTGTGGTTTGGGATAGCAGGACCTCATACCCTTCATGGCCTTCATGACCTTCCGATCCAAGAATGAAGGGTATCTTTCATTGGACTGGGTCAAATCCCAATTTGAACTAGTTCTTCCCTCGAACTGGACTAGGCCGAACCTCAATTTGCACTAGGTCTTCCTCCACTGTGCGTGGACTAGGTTGAACCATTTTTTGGGCTGGGTTTAGCCTCTACACCCAAACTAAAAGGCATCGCACTTTAAACGGCATTGCAGTTGAGGAGATCAGGATCCAAGCTTGTCTGATTCAAAAGATACAGAACTATGGCCACCTTGTGACAAATGGTGAGGTACCTCAAAATTGCTACCTGTTCTTGTTGTATGCAGAGGTATACAGAGGTTCTAGTATACAGAGGTTCTTATCTGTAATCAGTGCGTCCATAGCACTGGACCTCATCTCCAAACTTAGGCCAACAATGTCCAACTGAAACTGCAAGGGATTTCTTGCCAATGCCCTTGCTTACATCTGGCTCAAATTTCTTGCTCCTTTTAAACACAGGAAGTGAAAGTCATGGCCAGCAACATGCCAAACGATCGCTGTTGCTACAGGCATTGACCTCACACTGCAATGACAGCAGCAGTGCAAGGGAAAAGAATTACCAGATGACTCGCAGCGTACGCGGTACTGGACACTTGACTGCCCTAGTCTGAATTCCATCTTGTCTTTCAGCAAAGTGGGCTTGTGACCTGGTATCTTGGAGCCACCAAGATGTGTCCCATGAGTCTGTTGGGGCGCAAGCACAGCAAAAACGTCAGCTGTCAGTTAGACAGCTGCTGCTGCTCACCATGCTACCATCAATATTAAGCACTGCCAACTATCAGATGTCAGCTTCAGCAACACTGTCCAAAGTGGGCAAGCACAAGTGTCATGGATGGGCAATACCCTGCAGTCATTGATGATTGTGGGTGACTGCATGGGTGATCCACTCCTAGTCAGGGCATGCTGATGTATGAGGCAGCCAAAAATCAAGAATACTTCCTTGCTCAGGGCACAAACTACAGTTGTCTTAATATGTTGTGGAGCAACGCATCCAGGAACAATGGATTTGTGGCGGGCAAAATTTTCTTCCCTGAAATTGCGCAGTTGGAGTCAATCTTTTATGATCTTGCCGCTATCTGCATTGCAACTGAATGTACAACTCCAAGCAATCCACAACCATGCGCCTGGAAATGAGCCAGTCAGCCAGCAACCCAATGCTTCAACGACATGGTTTCTCGTTCGCTCTGTGACCTGTTTTCTCTTTGCCATTCCCCTTTTTTTTGTAAATCCTGCTGGAGGGAATCTTAACAGCTATACAAGCTGCACACTGTAAGTCCAGCCCAAAATGGCCCAACGACACCCCACGGAACCTGGACTGGTTTCTGCTTTTCTTTGAAGACCTTTCAGTTTTCAATTGACTTGTTGGTCTCACATAGACAATGGCTGTTTGGGTTGCAACAGAAACAACACCTTGTAACACAGGGCAGATACACGATGTCACTCAGTAGCGAATCTCCATGTAGTCTGATGAACTGCACAACACCAACACCCTGTCCCTTCATTCAGCTGACAAGCCAATCGCCATGCAGTATCCACCACAATCACCATCAATTCTACCACTCTATATGTTGAGAGAGGTCACAGAATCAGACAGTCAATGACATATGAGATTGCGAGGACATGAAACATATTTGTAGACATAACGCATTTGGCGTCGAAAGCCCAAGCCTTCTATTGCAAGTTGTATTCTGTGAGTCTAGCTCTTGCCCATCAGCATTCGAAGATCCTACAGTCATTAATATGCGGAAAAGTACCCCTACAGCTCCTGTTTAGAGGATACAATGCCCGTTTTCTGTTTGAATCCGTTGCATGGCATTGTGTTCATATTGTTCAGAAACACAATGCTAGCTGGATGTTTGTTGATCAACGTCGCACCGATTTCAGGTCTATCAAGAACAGGCGGCCGTCCTCATGGTGCACAATCGCGGCGTGCAACTTCGACACTGTCTCGTCGCCATTAACCACGTCGCTCCCCGGCTCTCTGCCAAGGAGAACAACAAATGAGGCAACGCTCTCTTCAAAGAATTGGCGCTAAGGCTCAGCACTTCACGTTACAGTGTCGCAGCACTGTTGCCATGAGGTGCTTGACCAATCGCCACGACCGCTGCGGCGAGCTCCCCGAACGCGCCTCGGACAGCGAACGTCGCCGGCCATCCCGCATTGAAACCACAAGGGCAGCATCTCCGTCAAGTTCTGCGCACGCAATGAAACGCCGGGCGGCAGCGGACGGGCGGTGGCGGGGCGGGATCACCTGCCCAAAACGTAGTACGACTTCTGGTCGATCGGCAGTGCCTCCGCGCCCGCGCCGGGCACGCACACCTGCCGCACAGAAAAAGGGCACCAGAATCATCAAGAGCGCGCCAGAGGGCAGTGCGTCTGCGCCCCTGATGCAGCACAGCCAGGACGTCATTCACAAGTGGGGATGGTGAAAGCCAAACTCCCGAGGAGAGTGTGTGGGGCGGGGGCGGCGGCGAAGGCGCGCTTGCACTCGCCTCGAGCGTCGCGATCCTGCACGGTTGGGAGGCCCACGGCGGGGGCTCGAAACCCATCGCGCTGGGCGCCTTGGGCGCGGTGCACTAAACTCTCCCTGGCGCCAAATATAGGCGAAGGCCACGGTCAGATACACAAGGCAGAAAAAAAAGCCGAAACTGCGCCCGAATCTCCCTCTTCGTCTATACCTACTCTTCCTGGGTCTGTTCTACGTCTTCGTCTGTACATACTCTTCCTGCACGTCCAGCACAGTAGTACGTTTAGCGCTACACCAGTGTGTTTACTGCTATTCATTCAGTATTCAATAGTGTATCTACCACCATTCATTCGACTATTTTATTTACTGGTTTTCACTACGCGGTAAAATGCGTAGTATAGTACACTATTGTACTACACACTGGCAACAATTGGCTGGGTGGTGGCCAAAAAGGCGGGGCGTTGCGTTGCCCGCGGAGTCGAAGAAGCGGGCCAGCGGCGCGCCCCCCAGCCTATCCAGCCATGCTGGCTGCGCTGCGGCGCCGCACCGGGCGGTGCCGCCAGCTCGCCCCCTTGCTCGGCCAGGCCGCCTTCGGCCTCTCCGCCTCCGCGCCCGGCGACCGCGATCCCACCCCCGGCGTCGACTTCGGCTTCGCGCGCGTCGCCGAGGACGCCAAGGCGCGGCTGATCGGCGACCTGTTCGGCCGCGTGGCACCGCGCTACGATTTTATGAATGATCTGATGAGCGGCGGGCTGCACAGGCTGTGGAAAGATCGGCTGGTGGCCCGCCTGGGGCCCTTTCCTGGCATGCGGCACCTGGACGTCGCCGGGGGCACCGGGGACGTCGCGTTCAGGGTGCTGGACGCCATCCGTGCAGCCGAGGCCAGGAGGGCGCGCAGCGTGGCGGTCAAGGGGTCCGTGGTGGTGTGCGATCTGACGCCGGAGATGCTGGAGGCGGGCAAGCGGCGGGCGGCGAACAGAAGGTGTGTCGAGATGTTCATTCCAGTGATGTCGTAGACAGCTGGCAGAGGGACGCTGTCTGGCTATCTGAGCTCAGCAGAGACACGTGACCTGGCCAGTGTGTTGATTTTTCACGTTGCTTGCAAGCAATTTCATTCATTCAATTATTTTCGTTTATTCATCACATTGATATCGAGGCATCACTGCTTTCCGCAAACGCGCCACAGCAGGAGCCCCAGCACATGACAGTGCAAAAAGCGCAAGTGCAGCAGTGAGCAGCAGACGGAGCGTTCCCAATGTAGTATGAGAGTGTCCAAACAAACCACCAAACAGCGACAAGAACAAGGCCTAGGAAACAGGAGGTATGTTTTGCTGTACGCATTACAGTGATTCTGGCATTGGGGATGTAACCACTTTGTGGAGCGCTCTTGCTGTATGCCTCCATTGGTTTTGTGGCGCGATTCTGTCTGAGACAAAGATGGTCTTGCGCCACTGCCCTGTTGGGAAAATGTGTTGCTTTGGCAATGCATGCAACCCGTGACTCCAGGTAAGATTTGTTGCACAGAGAAACAGAAACACATCACACAACGATGAGAAAGAGAAAAAGAGAAACAAGAGAGCAAGAGAAAGAGAATCAGGCCATGCCTTCTAGGGGTAAATGCAAGACTCTTTTCCATGCTGTTACATATGGTATGCTGTGACATGTTGTGGCAGGATCGATCAGGGGCTGGAATGGGTGCAAGGCGACGCGGAGGCCCTGCCACTGGAGGACGACTCCGTGGATGGGTACACGGTGGCGTTTGGGATTCGGAATGTGACGCACATCGACCGGGCACTGAGCGAGGCTTTGCGTGTTTTGAAGCCAGGGGGCCATTTCCTGTGCCTGGAGTTCTCGAAAGTGGAGGGGCGGGCACTGGCGCAGCTGTACGATGCATACTCGTTCAACGTGATACCGATGCTGGGGCGCTGGGTGGCAGGGGACGAGGGCAGCTACAGGTACCTGGTGGAGAGCATCAGGAGGTTTCCGCCACAGGATGAGTTTGCTGGGATGATCAAGGGGGCGGGGTTTGGTTGCGTGAGCTACGAGAACTTGATGGCGGGTGTGGTGGCGATCCACTCTGGATTCAAGCTGTGAGCGCTGTGGGGTGAGGATCGGATTCTGGTCGCAAGGGGAGGTGGCTTGATGGGGAATGGGCGGCGGTGCCTTGACCAATCCATTGATTGATTTTATGGAGGTGGGGCAAGCACTGGCAGCCTCTACCATTGCTCATTCACATGGCCATGTATGGCTTAATGCTGCCCGCACTGGCTGCTTCAGGGCCCTGCCCACCTATGATGAAGGTCACCTTGTTCTGGTGCTCACGTTTCCTGTGTAGATTGCTACATGTTGCCACGAAGGTGCAACCAAAGGCAGCATGAATGTTGTAGACCCCCGGGTGAGGTGCAGACGTTGTGGACCTCCTGCGGTAGAGACGGAATCTGGCCAAAGGTCAGGCAGAGGAATTCTGTGTTGATGATTTGAGGATTGTGTTTCCATACGAGGATGTCCGCACTGCCAAACGTGGCTGCCTGTGTGGATCTTTGTCGATTGGAGTAGAGAAAATTTTCCCTGGTAGAGACCCTTGTGGCAAACGCCAGAGACGTGCTCCCCATTGATCATGTGACAAAGATACCCTCAGTGAGCATTTGGAAGCCACAATTGGGGCAACATGGATGGCATCGTGCCTATCAGGGGTGGCTTCTGATCACAGGTGCCAAGCACGGAGACAAGGGTACCTAGTTTCTTGGAAATAGTTAGTCCGGGTGGTGCCAAGCAAAGTGGCTGGTGACTGGATTGGCTGGGCAAGTTGGCCTACTGCAATTCTTTGATTTCTGATCGAATGCTGATATGGATCTGGCTCCCATTGACGTTGCTGATCAGCTCTGTGCTTTTCTCCGGATTACTTCTTGATGTTGGGGCAATCAGGTGTCGAAATTCGCTCTCTGCTGGCCCTGCCACCATGTGCGGGCTCCAGATGGCGCCTGAAAGGCACAATACCTGCTTCATGGACAGGTAGCTGCTAGGCTTGGTCAAAGCTGGACCTTCCCAAGGCAATTTTTGCAGCATCGAGCTGCTGGTGTAAAATCAACTGTCGTTGCCATGGCCTTCAACCCCCAGCAGTGCTGAACATCCTTTGACTGATCTTAACCGGAAGACAAAGCACACTTAGGCAGATGTAGAGCATTCGACGGTGCTGGTGCAATGCAACTGGTGCTGGCTGTGAGCTGACGCAGGAAGAGTAAGGTGGGGAAATTGCATGACTCTTCAAGCAGGATGGGGGAGCTACTGATGTGGCATGTGGACAAGCCAAGGTTCAGTTGTTTAAGATTGTGCTATTATAAAATGCATTATAGGTGTGCGCAAATGATTCAGTTTTTTGGTTCTCTGATGGTGTTGTGGTGGTCCTGTGGTCTGTTACTTTGGGCACAAGTGGATGGCTATTAAAATTCTCACACTTTGCAGGCCCGGATGGCCTTGCAGGGGCTGTGTGCCCTCTGTTATCACAGAAGCTGTGTTGCCCCCCTAAGATGTGGGGAGAACTCGCAGCTGTCCTCTGTCAACATCGTGGCCAAGGAAGAGTGCAAGAGTGCTCGGGTGTCCTGAATCAGGACACAGACTCTTGAATACACGACTTGTGTGACACAAGGATGGCAAGTGTCAGTCACATTGTCCAACACTTACAGAAGCTGTTCATCTGCAGAATTGTACAATCGGTAGGTTCACAGTTCCAGAATAGGCATCGAGATTGTGTATGCGATGCAATGAATTGCCCCCTCCCAAGATTTTCAGAAAAGCTGAGCTGTAAGAGGCGTTTTGGCAGTCTCTGATTGCATTCTAGAAAGAAAACAACGCAACATTGTTTCTCTTGCATCTGGAATCTTTGATTGTGTGCACCGACATGCTTTCTGCTGGTGAAGCGAGAATCTTGAGCACGCTGCAGTGAGATGTGCAGTGAGATGCCAAGCAACCAAATTGGTGGATGGGCCAGCAGGCGCACAACACTGTTGTGGAGGTTACCCAGTGTAATGCTGTCTCATATTCCAGCAGCCGTTGAGAAAGCTCCAGGCTAGAGAGCCAGAAAGTGTTGATGGCATGATGGGTAAGGGAAGCAGAAGTTGTTGTTAGGGTCATGCCCACCACCTGCAAGCATTATCCTCAAACAGAAGCAATCAATTAGAGAGCATTGGCAACACGAATATATCCCAAGGGTGCATTGAACATTGGCATTCTTGACCTGGTGCTATGATGTGTGCCTTCAGAGTAACGGCACATTCTCTAGATGTTTGTCATTTGATGTTGAAGGACACCCCTTGTGATTGTCATGATGGCCGTTGATCACTGTCCCAAAATAGATATTGATAAACGAATCTTACGTACCCCAAATGGTTTTCACACAATCTCTATATTCACTTTCCCAGCTACTTACTTACTCACTATTTCAGCTCCGCACTGCACTAACTATCACTTTGTATTCAGCTTTCAAAATGATCAAGGCTGGGGCAGAATGATCGAATTCACACAGTGATTGTCAAATTTTACTACTCACCCGATCTGACTCTCAGAATACTTGCAGCTACTTGCACACTTAGTAGCACAAGAGCTGCACTTTCACTTTGCACTTGCAGCGATCAATCAATAACATTCAACACTTCAGAACGTGAAAACTCACAAAGTGACGAACAGAAAGATGTCAAAACATCAATAATCTATCCTTGGTTCCCAGCACCAGAGCAATCCACCTTCCCTCACGTCCAATGTCACTCAGTCACATTCACTGCACAGGTCTCCACTCTCCAAACAACTCCCGAATTGATTCGAGTCAGCTATCCTACATTGCCAAACGCCTCTACTCTTCGCTAGAGCAGACATCTCATTGTCTTTGCCCATCAACCACTGCGCCACTGATTGCCCAGCTGCTGCGATTGGGAGCGCTTGGCTGGGTTGGTGACCAACTGATTGCCCCCCTCTTTTTATCCCTGAGCCATGCCCCTTCACACCATCATCTTTGGTGATCACCCAATACACTTCTTAATACGAAGTTCAGGGTGTTTTACTCTTCACTTCACCCGCAGTTGTCTATTCCTCCGTCACTTTTCCCCATCACAGCTTCCCCATATCGTTCATGTCACTCACACACCACTTTTCTAAGTACACATTCCCCGTTACACTAGCTCACACACCTTCGACTTCTTTGGTTACATTTGCACCTCTCCCCATCCCATTCCAACTCTACGCCACACCAGTTTGTCGTGCACCTGCACCCCATCATGATGTGACCCACGCTCACACATGTCTTTTGTACTTCCGGTCCATTAAACTGGCACCCAGCGCCCTCCTTACTTGATGCAACCCCATCAACTTCTCACTCGCTGGCTCAGTCATCACAATAGCGCGGCACTGGCGCTGCTGGCCCCGTTGCAAAGCACAATGATGCCATCACAACGAAATGACATCTATCACACTTCATCACACTGCACCCTACAGCTCACTCCATCAGCTCGCCCTAACGGCTCGCCCCCGTGGTTTGCCCCTGCGACTCTATGTTGCCGGCCCATCAAATAGTTGTCCAAAGGCCAGCCTGGCGTAAGGCTTAAGCATGAGCCGTTCCACCCCCTCTGGGCGCCGGCAATAGCCCGTGATGGCCCTGGGCGTTGTCTGTAGTAATGCACCCAAAATCAACGCCATCATTGTGTTGTTGAACCACTCGTGCCAAATATAGGAGACAACCGTGATGTTGTTCCTCATCATAGAATGGAACACTTTTTAAAGCTTAACATTGGCTAAATGAACTCATGTCGATACTGCAAAACACAACACACGCTGCTATTGAGACAACGCGCTCCAAATGCGGACCGTTATTCCAGCAGTCTTTATACTAATTTTCTGGAGCAAACGTGTCTATTCACCTGCCTATACAAGGGCAATTTGTGGGTTTGCAGCAATCCTTTCAGTTGTAGTTCCCTTCTTTAGAATCAGTTTGTTTCAGCTGAAGGGATATCAATTCCCTTCAGAGTTTTTCATGTCCAAAGAGACACAAATTCTCGTTATTTTGAAGAAATGTTTGCCCAAGTTGGAAAACGCAATAACACGAGGACAGCAGCCCACGGCGAGGGCAATTGGGCAGTGGAGAATTTTCTGTTTGGAAAATCGAGGCGCAAGCGTGAATTTTGGAAAGGTTCGAAGCATTTTGGGTGCATGTGTTTTAAACGGAAACAAGTTGAGACGTGCATGAGTGGCAATTAATTGAGAGGATTTTAAACACGAATGAATATGCACACGCTTTTGCGCACGATGCGAAAGACGTGAAAGAAATGAGGAAATAAATCGTATGACATCAATTTCTTTATTTGGACGTGAAAGAGGCATGTTTGAGTATTTTACAGTTTTCCCTTCTCTCCATAATTTTCCATGAATTCCCAGGTTGATTGACTGAATGACACACACCGCAAACAGTGCAAACTCGAGTCCGCTACCCCGGCGATCGCAGCGCCACGCCGCTGTTCACAAGCCGCAGGCCGCCGCTCCAGCGGTCGCCCCCGGCCCGAGCACAGTTCCCGGGCGGCCGTTCCCAACCCGCGGGCAGCCGCTGGCATTGTGATCGGCGGGTTTGGTCAGGTGCACTGATCCCCCTGCCCGCGGGCAGCCACCGGCATTGTGATTGGGCGGTTTGGTCCGGTGCATTGATCGCACAGACCTCGAGCCACCCAAGATGGCGCGCAATGAGGAGAAGGCGCAGTCGATGCTCAACCGCTTCCTGGCGGGCAAGAAGGAGGAGAGCAGGGGCCCGCGGCAGAAGCGGCCGTACCTGGCGTCAGAGTGCCTCGACTTAAACGAGGCGGACAGGTGGCGGCAGCAGATACTGAGGGAGATCGGGCGCAAGGTGACGGAGATACAGAACGCCGGACTGGGGGAGCACCGGTGAGTGGGGCGGCTTGGGAGCCGCCGGGGGCGGCGGTTGTTGCGGATTTGCTTTTTGCGAATGTCGGTGCCGCGCTGCGCACAACGGGAGCTGAAGCGGGGGCTGTTGTGGCCGCTAGTAACTGTTGATTGATCTGGGTGCTGTGTGGATCGAATTTCGTGCCCTCACCAGCGCGGCGGGGGGGCAACAGTGCCGCACACCCGGATCCTGTGGTATTTCCTTTGAGGGCAGCTTGTGGGACAACACTCTTGTGGGTTTTGTGGTGACAGGGGCGTGTAGTAGTGTTTTAAGTTTCGTTTGAATGGGTTTCTGGCTACGAAAAATGAACCGATCAATGGGGTTGTGTATGGTCATGGACACTCATGCCACAAAATGGACATCCAGCATATCCTGATTGAATGCTATTTCCCAAGAAATGGCCAAGCAGGGTCCGAATGAACTGTGGCCTCAGCGACTAAATCTCCACTGTGAAATAGCCTCGGGCAAGGGCATTAGGTGTCGTACCCAAGAACATACCAGCAGCAACTATCAGTCAACCATAGGCTCCATGTTGGCATGATGGCCATGAAGAAGCAAGCACATAGGAAGTGTGATGGCCATGAAGAAACAAGCACATAGGAAGTGTGAAAATGGGGAACTGGAAATGTGAAAAACCGCGCATCTGGCCCCAGTGGCTGGCACAAAGCCTGTGCATGCTCGAAGACTTTGCGCTATGTATCAGTCCTAAACAAGAGAATGGGTGTCACTATGAAGATCTGTTTGCAGCAGACTGCTGCCATTGTTGGTGCCCTGGCAAACGAAATGCTCTTGCATACACTTTACAGGGCATGTCATAATTTGGCTTGCAGCTCTTGAGAAAATGTCATAGAATCAGAGTGTAGAATAGCCCCTTGCCTGAATGAGATTCTAAAAGCAATAAATGGACATGGTGCACGTAAACAAGTTCTTCAGACAGTGTGTTATCTAATGCTGGAATAGCAGCAGCTGCAATGGCCAAAGGGTTGATGGTCATCATTCCACACACATTTAGGCTGGCATATGAATCTTCTACTGGGGGCTGGTGTGTGGGACTAAGATAATGGGGCACTCATTATGAATGAATGTTCTTACATGCTAAGTGAAAATTCGACACATTGGCCATGTTATGTGTCTCTGCTGAACTCAGATAGTCAGACAGCATCCCCTTGCTAGCAGTCTACACTGACCTCACAATGATCGGCAAAGAACCCCAACCCCACAACATCAAGGAACGCAATGTACGTGCGTCCACAGACAGCAACACATTCAGGAGAGGACCCCGCTGAATGTCCATATCCCCATCTCCATCTTCCATCCATTTGCCCAGTCGATGCATCTATCAAGTGCCCAGTCGCTTTCGCAAACTGTACGAGACATGAACCCCAAACTCTGGCAAACCAGCCCAAGTCCCTCTCTGCTGCTGCACAACGCCCATGAGCAAGACCTCCTGCTCGTGGGCCAACCTGGTACATTACCACAACATATGGTCATGAGAGAAGTCATCCCCACAACAGCAGCATGGATCCCACTCGTCCACATCCCACGGAATCCTAAAAGATGCAATATGGATGGGGCAGTCATTAAACATTAGTAAGATGTTTCTGTGCGTAATAACCTATACGATGCAAGGGCGTTGTTTTCTGGCAGCTTTTAAGGCATGGCCTTGTGCTTTCTCCTTCTTCTTTTCTTTAATCTCATTCTTCAGCTCGATGTTTGCTTTTCTTCGGCAGGATTCGAGATTTGAATGATGAGATCAACAAACTCATCCGTGAAAAAGGCCACTGGGAGCGCCGCATAGTGGAGCTTGGTGGACCCAATTATGCCAAAGGTGCACCAAAAATAACAGATAGTGAAGGGAGGGAGGTGGCAGAGGGCAAGGGGCCGGGATATCGGTACTTTGGGGCAGCAAAAAACCTGCCAGGCGTCAAAGAATTGTTTGAGAAGGAGCCTCCAAGGAAGGTCCGAAGGACGAGGCACGACATGTACAGAAGAATCGATGCCGACTATTTTGGCTTCAGGGACGAAGAGGATGGCGTGTTGGTGAAGGTGGAGGCGATTGCAGAGAAGGAGATGCGGCAAAAGGTGAGTTGGCAGACTTTTGCTCACACTGTCTGTGCGCATTGGCTACTGATTGCTTTTCGCTCCAACAAGGTGTAGCTGTCACTGTTGTTGTCTTGCTTTTAAATAATCCAGGAGAAAACAGCAGGTGCTGCTGTCCTTGTTTGTGTTTTGGTTCCAATTTGTTGAAAACCGACGTTGCTGTTTATTGCTGTTACTACAGCTGTTGATCTGAATCCCAACCCCTGAATGTGGCTGTCTAGAGGGCTTGTATGTATGTGTGGATTAGTTTTCGCCACAAGTGAAGAAGTGCTCCCTTGCATCTTGAAGGCTGTCATAGCTACTTTCTGGAACTCCAGAATCAAGTCTCCAATGCCATGGACACAATCGACCAAGCCGAAACCCAGCTCCTAGAGGAGGCTGTCCAAAGGGCTTGCTTGCATATTGGGATTATTGTTTGCCAAGATTAAAGTAATGATCCCTTGCATCTTGAAGGTTGTCATATCCAATTTCTGGAACTCCAGAAAAGCGTCTCAAGCCCCTTGAACACCATCCACAATCGGAATGTAAAATGCAATATGCTGATTATTTGCAAGCTGCAGTGGGCATGCAATTTAAGCTGTTGTTTGTTTTCCAACTGGTTTATCGAATTGGTGAATTGTTAGGCAGCTGTCCCTGGTGGCAACAGGACACCATGCTGCTTGTTTGAGGCATCCAAGACAGTTTTGGCAATACCCCTTGACAATCCACATTGGATGTAGCGGCACACAGTGTAAGGGAAAGAAGAGTTCAGAAGACTCACGTTCAATAACGACTGCTTGTTGCCGCACTTCGGCACTTTATTGCTCAAATCAATTGCCCCCAAGTCGAGAATTGCAGCTGCACACAGTTGCAAATGCTGTCTCTCCTGCAAATGTTTTGGGGCAGCTGAATGGCGATCGGAAAATGAAGCATAATGGGAACAAACACTTGCTGATGTCAATGGCAGTCAACATCACCAAACATCACCAAACATCTGCATTGGTACTAACTTCTCGTTTGCCACGAGGTGAGGTTCATGCGTATTACAAATTGCTGACCTTTGGTGTGAGCACTCACACCCACAAGTTGTTCGTTCAATGAAGGTTTTTGCTGCTTGTGCCATGTCCAACAGCCCATGAACACTGATGAAAGCTGGCCACATCTGACTGCATGGGTATTGTGCAATCCTTCGGTTGGCATTTGCGTTTCTGTATCCTACTGGATGACATGGTGTTGACAATGAAACGTTATTGGATGGGAGTCTGTCAAGCATCCAGTTGTGCTGTTGAAGCGTGGCATTGGATGATTGGGATGATTATATTGGATGCATGGCTGTCCAGACAGTCTGTACAGACATGAAGGAGAATGTAGCATGATTATGAGCATTATGATATGATGAGCAGACATACTTTAGATCTGACATGGCTCAGTACAAAATTGTGCCGGAAGGCCTAGTATTTCAGCTCTTCCTATGCACTGTGCATCCCTTGCTTTTGCTCAAAGGTATTTCCAGCCTGCACCAGAATCGTCATGCACACCATCGATCCCCCACAGCACTGGTTGGTTCATGCATATGTACAACCGCTATGGTATACATTGCGTGCATCTATACTGCTACAGTATGCATTGCACATGTTGGACTTTAGGATGCTGAATAGTTGCGAAACCTGCTTCCCTGAGTTTTGTATGCCTCCCTGCTGCACGCAATAACTTCAAGACCGTCTCCAACTTGGAGAACGAATGTTTCACTGTTTGCTTGACATAATTACCTTCTGCAACTTGAAGCAAACAAATCTTTCGTTTGCTGACTGAAGCACCCTCTGCAATCAGGCCATCGCCGAGTGGGAAGTCCAGGAGGCAAAGAGGCAAGAGGCGATCGCAGGGATCAAGACGGTGGCAGATGCCGCGCCAAGGGACGTGGACACCGCCAGCCAGTTCGTCGCCTACGTCCCCCTGCCCGACGACAAGGAGATAGAGCGTCGCGTGCTGGACAAGAAGAAGGCGGCGCTGCTGTCCAAGTACGCCAGCGAGCCCTTGTTGAGGGAGCAAGAAGAGGCCAGGGCCCTGTTGCGAAGAAAATAACGGGGCCCGCTTGTGATGGGATGTTGGGAGCGCAGGCGACAGAGCCAGCTAGTTGACCCGTGATGAAGGACAGTGTATTAGTCCCCAGTTCCTTTTCTTGCAGATCCCTTCTGCTGACAAGGCGGAGGTGGGTCATTGCTTCAGTGGTTTAGGGTTTGGTGTGTCGAAACAAGAATCGACAATCACAACAAAGACAGAGGGTCTAATTTCATGCTGTGATGAAGCTTCGAGGTTGGCCGGCGTGAAGTCTGCTCATACCTTCCATGTATTATATTTCGAAATAGGGGACAGGAAGACTCAACACGTGGAGTGACCTTGCCTTTTAGAATAGATGTGCTGCGGCAGCCATTGATTATAACTGGCTTGCTTGTTCTGATTGAGAGTTGTGGACCGCCGCCAAAAGAAGAGCAGAGAGAGAATTTTAAAATTGGGTACCGGCCAATATGTGGTTGTTGTGGTAATGCGCCAGCCGATGTTTCAGATCCCCCTTGGTTCTTTTCAATGAGCACCTTACCTGGTCTACATGGCCATGTTATTTACGTGAGACGCGCGTCAGGCCAGCACCCCACACCCGCTAGAAAGACTCCATCGAAGGCTGGCAACACTTCTGCTGAAGCCTTGACGCTAGAGGTTGGCGTTGCAGGCCGTTATTTGACGGCACTTGTGGCACGGATCCAATGCCACAATATGCTGTAGACACTAATTACTGTCGTTATAATGGCACTGGGAAAATTTGCTTATGGTGCACTTAGTAACAAGGTTATCAACGGCATTGGGTGGCGGCTGCTCACCGATAACAGCGCCTTGCGGTGCATTATGTGAGGGAATTGGCGCTCAACAGCATGACCGCCAGGCGGCACGGAGAAGTGGCGAGCGAATCTTCTAGTGCCAGTCCTTCACCACATTGCATGGTGCTCCTTTTTCCCTGGCATCATATTCCCAAGTTTGTATGCGTCTTTATAGTGCCTTTGTTGTGGCAGGTGTGTCCCTTATTCCTTTGATTTTCCGTGTTGTTTAGTGTGCCTTTGTTTTTCTGAGTGTGTTGTGTGATTGTGCGTCCATAGGTTGCATTGTGTTCCCTCATTTTAACATATATTGCTGGAAAAGGATCCCGTTGTGCTTTACGATTTGCGGGGAATTTTTTTGAATTCCCAAATATTGCATGTTGATCTAAGCAAGGAGCTCCCCTGCAAAACGTAAAGCTTAATGGGATCCTTTTCAAGCAGGAGCTGATATAGGGTCCCAAACAAGGAGATAGAAAGAGAGTATCAGTGTTCGCTCAGCATTCAATATACATGTGGGGGAGTCCTAATCATCAGAAAAATTGTCAGAGAGGAGCGAAAGAGTTCGGCAGGTCATGTCCCAAATATCCCAGAATGTATTGAAATGTCCTGATATATCCCATGTTTGTTGCCCCGTCTGACTTCCAGCATCGATCATAACCTTGTCAATGCAAACAGAAATCTCTCTCAATGTTGAGTACATATCCGCCGAACAACCCTCCGAAACTTGGCCAAGAAAAATCGTCCCGGTCCACAAAGATAAGTGCAATTCCAATCGCCATGTTCATGAGATGTATTGTCTAAGATGATAAGCCTTCACACAGAGTCGTCCCTATGTGGGCATGTTTCGACCGGATATGTCACCATTGTTTTCCAAGGGCTTGGTGTCCATTATGCGACTGGTTGGGCCATCATGCGTGGCTCGGAGGCGATAATACTTGCTCATATGCCCCTACGTCTCCGGCTACATTTAGAGCAAGTGCATTTTTACTTGAAAACATTACCAACAACAAAGGATTTCTTTTGCAAAATTGTTGACCTCCTTCAGAGTAAAAAATGGCTCGGGTGGAGCAGAAATGCACAACACCAAGGCAAATGGCAAAGTGCAGCAATCAAAACACCTTGTGTGTCAAAAAGCAGCCAAGGGTGGACTAAGGTAGTGCTGTGGGGCGCCAAACCAAAGCTAGTGCCACAAAAAATTACAAATTCTGCCACACTGACTCAAACAATGGTGCCAAACAGGCAAAAGTTTCAAAAAAAATGGAATAACGGTGCCTGACGGTATTTCAAACCCGGTGCCAATCTCCACTTGACGCTTGATTCTGTGGCTTGCATTGGGAAAGACACTATTACAATTTGGTACGCTGAGGGCCCCCTGAGCCTCCATGAGCGTTGTCTGTTGGCCACAAGCCCTGTTCTGCACACCGCCCAGGCGCTCAGCGCTTTTTACCCTGTGGGTGTCGAGGTCCCACAATTTCCGTCCTGTGTAAAAAAGACCTATGAAAATTTCGGCATATGAAGGGGTGCCTAGCGTGGGGCCCGAACAGAAACAAATGCCTACGCCGATTCCGCGGCGGGAGTGCAAGCGCGTCAAGAAAACCCCTGGCCAGGTGCATCGGTGTTAGCAGCACGGCTTCCTCGATTTGGTGGATCCTCGACAGCATCAGGGGATCTTCTGAACAAACGCCAGTACTTCTGGCAGTGTCGTGTACATCCTGGAAAGTCCCTGTCTTGCTCACGAAGTGCTGGCGGTTGGTAGTCAGCTTGTGCAAGGAATCTGCACAACACACTGGGCTACCTCCTGGGAACAGCTGCCAGAGTGCTGTCGTGGACGGCCAGCCAGTGAACGGTTTCAAATTTCGTTAACGGATTGAGCCAGTGCTTGCCGGCATCCCAGAACAACGATTTGCCACGCGATCGCCATGCGCCTCCACATACCAGCCAGGCGATCGTTCAGTCAAATTCTTCTCTGGAGCAATTGGACAGAGACTACCATAACAAAGACCGTTGCGACGCGCATTGGAAGTCTGTTCCAAACCGCATCAAGGGCATGGCCTGTTTCAAAGCCAGAGGCATACTGAGTGTGGAAAACACTGGCGTCCATCAATGGCACACAATCACGGCAATTCGCTGTCACCACTGTCATTTCCGCGAGCCGGGCGCAGCTAAGTCGCCAGGCTTAAGCCTGCAGCTTCAGGCGGCCTTCTGCACAAAATGTTGCACCGTTCCGCACACGGTGGCCGCTCAGCACCATGGGAATGGCAGAACCCAAGAGCTTTCGCCCAGCGCCTTTGCAAAACACATCCTTTGCGGCACTGCACCCAACAGTAAGACTGCCACAGACCCGAGGGGTCTGATGCACTTCAACGGCCAATGAGTGCTTCCGGCACTGGGGCCAGCATGCCAGGCAGTGTCAAGGGGCCATGTAGCTCCCCTGCATCAAGGAACTGTCAGCCGCGCGAAATTTTTTACAAAGAATGTCCCAAAGAATCGGATCAGGGCACACAAATGCCCCTGCATAATCTACAAGTCAAAACTGATATACAGAGCAGCGCATAGGGCAATTCCTGCCTGCATCCTCTCAAAACTGCAAAGCCCGGCATCGAGGCTGCCAGCCACTGCGAGCCGCGCTCAAGCAGAAGGGCACGGCACCCGCAGCCAGCCTCCAGGCACTGTCTGGGTCGGAATTCGGGTTGCACCAAATTTGCTGATCAGAAGTCCCCGAACGTGCATCTCTGCAAGATCATTCCACCTTCCTCAAGTGGAGCGCATTGTAATCTTCATCCAGAAGATGCAAAAAGTGGGACGCTCAACTTTCCCGGGGCCCGCGCTTATCCACAGCAGATGCCACACAAACCAACCCAAAACAATGGCCCTGTGGGTGTGAATTACCACCATTGCTTTCCATCTGGAAGACGTTCAGGCTTCCCTTTGAAGACATGCGCAATCCTAGCGCTTCCAACCCAGCTGACACAGCCTGCTATTGTCACTTCCACCTCTTAGTGTTCTTCGCCGCTTTCCCCTGCTTGCCCTTCGCACTCTGCGCCGAGTTAAATTTCCTGCCCTTCTCCTTCTTCTGCCGCTTCTTCTCCGCCTTTGGCACCTTGCGGCCCTTCTTCATCACCTTCTGTTCGATGGCCTTCACTTTCCTCTCTTTTGCCTCCATCATACTCCTCTCCTGCTCGTCCTGCTCAAGGAAGTAGTCGAAGCCCCAGCGGTAGTCCTTCAGGCCGCAGCCCTCGACCTGTCAAGGCGGCAAACACAGGAACATCGGATGTTTTTTCTGGACCAGCCATTTAGGCTTAAACTAGTATGAGTACATACAGAATACCACAGCAGACTCAAATATATTATTGAGATGACGGGCTCAATGTTATTGGGATGACAGGCTCAATGAATAGCTCAAGCGGACGGTCAGAAATTCAGAGCAGGCGACAAACATGTCCGTCATCGCCTGGAAGGTAAAAGGGTAGCAACATAGCACGTTGAGAAAGCTGCAACAATAATATCACTGCTTTTGGCAGGCACAAGCAAGCACCTCCAGCCATTTCAAAATTGCAATAACCAGTGGGAGCCTGTTCGATGCAGGAAATCAAGGCAAACTCTGACACAACGAGACTTGCCAGATCCTCCACTCACTCAGCATGAGCCTACCCCTGCTTACGGACAAGAGATGGTTGTAGAGGGCAACACAGCTCCAACGGCGAATGGCCAGGGTGTGGTGACTTCAGAACGTACACGACAAGCCACAATTCTAAAATGCACTGCACTGTGCGCTCTGCCCCAAACATGGCTCCATATTAGGCTCCTGGTTTGCCATCGCAACACACAATACCTGCCACTGGAAACTGCAAACACAAGAGTCTGGCATGTGAGTCTGTTCCAGCCTGTTGTTTGCCTATCGATCCCAATTGAGCAAGCTGCATTCCCATATGTGCAATCTGAACCAGCAGCGAACTGGTCGCCAGCGTCTTCGTTGGAAGGTGAACGTCTCATCATTGAGCCGAGCGCCGCCTCCATCAGCATCTGCATTTAGGCAGGTCAACAAACATGGCGCAACTGAAAGACCTACACGGCCAAAAATGCCGCTATCCGATTCTCCAACAGCCCGTCGCTGATCCACTGCCCAGGATGACATGTTGGTGCTCTGCAGGCCCCTTCTCAGGCCATTGTCAGCCCTTTCAACCGTACCTTGAGAACCCTGGTCGCCACCTGCTTTAAGAAGTATCTGTCGTGCGACACAGCGATGACGCTGCCCTGGAAGGCATTGATGGCCTCTTCCAACATTTCCTTGGATGGTATGTCCAGGTGGTTTGTGGGCTCGTCCAGGACGAGCAGCGTGCCCTTGGTGAGCATGAATTTGGCAAGCGCCAGCCTCGCCTTCTCCCCGCCGCTCAGCACAGCAACCTTCTTGCTGTGCGCGGCGTTGTCAAACATCATCCGGCCCAATAGGCCCTTCACATCGTCCAAAAGGGCATCTGGGGCCTGCCCAACACTGAGGCTGTGTGTGAGCTTTTGTTTCCAAAGTGTTATATAGCCATAGCTTAAAGAGACATCCAGCCTCCCTCCTGGCAGTAAGATGGAAGAAAAGCAGTCCACAGACCATTTACACACACCCACCTTCCAAAAATTAGGTGTATAGACTTCCCCACAAGTCCTATAATCACAACCCTACCCCCAAACGTGACCTATCTTTTTGTGCAATCCAACCGAAACCAAAATAGGGGTAATCACAGCTGTTATTCCTTTCTAGAACTGTTTGCTCCATGGTCAAGCACAAACACTCTAAGAGAAGAATCCTGGTGGAATCATGGCTGTCATCAGCTTGCAGGCGCAAAAGGCAGCTCTTGTCATGTGCGGCAAACGCAAAGCACAAATGATGAAGCGATTGTATGTTGTCATATTGCCTGATAGATGCACTCACTTAACAAACGGATTGCCTCACTCACCGCAGCCACAAGAGTCCCCAGGACTGTTTTGTCGAGGTCCAGAGCCTCAGCCTGGTTCTGCTCAAAGTAGTTTGCATGGATGTTGTGGGCCCCTAGCTGCACAGTCCCAGAAATGGGCTTCTCCATCTGCATGATCAGCCGAAGGAAAGTGCTCTTGCCGCACCCTGCAGCAGGCTAGAATCAGTGCATTCTGTAGTAGTTACAGCAAGAGGATCTTTGGGCAAAGCGAGTACAGCTATGTATTGGGCATTAGCAGTAAGGGGCATTTCAGTTCCTTGAAGCATTAAATCACAAAGTGCTGAAAGGTGTTGCAGTATTATTCTGGTACAAATCCTTGTACTCGTGATGTTGTATCAAATACATGGAATCGGTCTCAGACATGGCTGGCTTGCACAAACATTTGCGTGCACATTCCCTCTCCCACTTGTCCAGTAGGCAGACACGATGCCCACAGTGGATGGGACACCTTCTGGAAGGAATTTCCACATTCCAACTCCAGCTATATCCGCTAATCCCTTTGATCCTTCTTATCCATTTCTATGGCTTCTAATCCCTTCACTACATTTGTCAGCAAGAGATAAAGCATCACCCATGCACTTACAAAGTGATGAAGCGCAAAACTGAGTTTACAACAGCTATCAAGATAGACGTGTCATTCCATAACAACTGCTCATTCTTTGATGCTGCCGCGACATTTTCTCTTCAACCAGAAGTTGCCTTGAAGGCAAGTGAACAACACTTCTCAGCCTTTGCACGGCACTGACACCGTCGAAACAAAAGTGATTTCGATCAGCTACCATGCGTTATGTGAGGCAGACAGTATATGCACTTCTGTGAATGGATACCAGGGAATTAGGGCCCAAAATCTTGGGACTGACAATGTAACTGCAGTGTATTCGAGCGCAAAATTTACAGATTTACTTGAAACACACTGTCCACCTTGAAGTTGGGAGCATGAACAAATGGCAGGGAGTGAAGTTTCAAGGACATTGCTGTCATCGGGTGGTGCGTCCAGCCCATCTCACCATTGGGACCAATTATTGCAACCCTCTCTCCCTTCTCAATAGTGAGGTCCACACCATCAAACAGCATTTTGTCTCCATACCCATGAGTCAGATTTTTAACAGAGGCAACCAGCTGTCCAATCTTTTTCACCTGCAGCCAAACCGGGCAACCTGTGAAGCAACAGCTGACCACGCAAACAGGCCAAAAGAACATACCCAAGTAAGGGTATATAAATACAAATTACAAATAATGCCTGGCATAATCCAACGAACAATCCAAAGATAATCCAACAAATAATATTATGATAATATAATCCAACATATGCATAATATACAATCCTAAGATAATCCAACATAATCCAATGAAAGGGCAGCGATTTTTCTATCTTTGATAGCAGTGGTCAGCACAGAATCAAGATGCTACCCCTTGGAGCTGCTGTTCAGGGTAGACGCAGATGCAAGGTACATCAAGATGTGCTGCAGGTAGGCTGCATAGGCTCACCTCAGGGAAGGTGAAAGCCCTCTTCTTTGGTATGAATGGCCTCTCCACAAAATTTCCTTCCTCTCTCAGTTTTGCCAAATACTTCTTGGCAGCTTCAGCCCTGCCACTTTGTGAGCCGCCCGACAACCGTTTGATTAACTCCATCTGCAAAGCAACATTACAAAATTCAACAAGCCTCAAAGCATACAACAATATACAACATCAGATCAAACAGTCTAAAATACAGCACAGAATCAAAGGCCAACAGCCAGGGGCTGCATCAAAATACGACTTGTTGATGCTACCTCTTGATGATGGAAACAAATGTGCATCTGTTGACTGCTGCTTGAGTCGTCATCGTCTGCAAGGGCCTGGCATTTCCCATGTCCCACAGAGATACAGTACTTGACAGATTCTCGGATTCAATACCAAAATGGGACACTGTGGACAACGCTGTGCTCATTTTGCTTGCAGCCAGGAAATACAAGGAATTCACAAGAACCATTCACAAAGGGAAGGCAGCAGTCATTTTGGTATCAACCTGCCTCAGAATCTCTTTTTGCTGCTTGTCCCATGCGGCCCACTGCTGGTTCAACAAGTCCCTCTTCTGCTGAACGTATTGTGTGTAGTTGCCCACAAATGTTGTGGCCTTTCCCCTCTCAGTCTCGATGATCTTCGTGCACAGCTGGTCAAGGAACTCCCGATCGTGTGAAACGATCACCATTGGGACTTCCTGCTGCTTCAGATAATCTGCAGGCATGACATGAGGATCAAATCTTCTGAGACGCTGGCAAAGGGCACAATAAGACAGCAAAAGCAGATGCAGGGTAATGCATTAGAGTCACACGAGTTGGTTCTTTTGTGCATACCAATTATCGATTGTCAGTATTGTCGATTGCCTTTCTTCAACTGACCCACTTTGCCATTCACACAAAGAACACCACAAGACAGTACTCAGACTTCATGAACACCAACAGGGTTCCTGCTCTCTGTGCCGTGACAATTAACTTGAGTAGGAACAAGCGATTGAACAACAGCAGTACCTTCAAGCCATTGGATAGTTTCGAGGTCAAGGTGATTTGTTGGCTCATCCAGCAGCAGCAGATCTGGGTCTTGCAGCAGTGACTTTCCCAGGCAGAGCCTCATTTGCCACCCCCCGCTGTAAGAGGCAACCTGCATTCGGCACATTACCAAGTTCTGAAAACAGCAAACAGTCAAGAACAAGACTAGTTTTTGCCAATGTTCACACACTGTGGAACCAGTTGCGAACTGAACAGCTATGTTGAAAGACCCAAAAAACCAGGTGTTGGGTGTTGTTGCTCCGCGCACTGCCTTTCATGTCCATGGGTTCCAGCATTCGCTTTCTGGAGCCAGGGATCATCTGAAAATCAACCCCACGTGAGAGCGCTCTATCATGTGCTGTCCCCTGAATGCAAAAACATATTCCTTTGTTTTAAACTAGAATCTGAAAGACAGCACAGGTTTTCACAACTTGCAGGTGATAACAACCACACATAAATAAAATGCTTTCCTATCCCTTGTTTCTTCACTTTATCCACACATCACCATCTGCAAGTGTTGCAAATGGACGGTGGGCCATCAGTTATACATGGTTTCCAGGTGAAGTGAACACATAAAGCACACTATCAAATTCACCACTGGAACATCGCAAGAACAGGATATGTGACGATAAGCCTCGATATTCATCAACAGACTGAACTGAGCTGCTTGCTATCTCTTGATCCCCATCAAAGAAAACAGAAGTCAAATCACACACTGTGTGTGTGTCTCATAGCTGTATCAAGCTGAATAAAACACAGACACTCACATCTGTACCCTCAGCTTTTGTGAGATTCAAAACACAAGAAGAGAATAAACTCTACTACTAAGTCATATTTTCAAGTTAGTGGTTAGCAACGGCTAGAACCTGGGTGACGATCTGTTCTCTGGCAGCTCCACTGAGAGTGCTGAACTCCTCCGCTGCAGCACTCTCGCATCCGTTTTGTTTTTCCTCGTCTGGGTCACACACCGCCTCGCACCATCTTGTAGAGGGATTCTGCTTAACTAAGTTCACCAAAACATGAGTTGTCCTGTCTTGCACTATGAGATGACAACTGCATGTCTCCTGCAGAGACAGTGGTGGCACCTGATGGAAACCCGTGTATACTGCAATATTTGCAATCAGCCACGCACCCAAGAAAAAGACAAAGAAAAATTAAAGACAAAGCGTTCGTAGTTTTGCAAGGTCAAGCCTCTCCCACAGAACTGACATCCCACCAGCCTGTCATTGTCTTCCCTCCTGAACCCGAGCTGTTGCATCACGCGGTCAATCTTCTTGTCCAGCAAGTTGACATCCAGATCCACAGACTTCTTTGAGAGGTCGTTGAGTTCATCCAGCAGAGAAGACAAGCGATCCATGTCCTCGGTCGCATCCTCAATTTCCTTCTGTATTGCCTCCTGCCTCCTAATGACCTGGTCAGCAAAAGGAGGTTGGCACTGCCCTCAAAACTTCACATCACACACTGACACAGTGCTGTTGGTTTTAAACCCTTCCGCATAGAAACGTAACAGTTGGCCTTTTTTTGTGGAGAAAATAACAAAATACATAATGCTCTTTTATCAAAATTTGTGCGGAACAACGTAGAAATAACGTTCTGAAAGCAAATGCGGTGCCAAAAGCTTAACGATATAATTTTCTGATTCGGAAGGGTTGAATATACTGCAGTACATATTGAAGACGAAAACATCAAAACTTCACAATGCCTTCAACAAGGGGCTGCCATACTTGCGTTGGGCAATGCTCTAAATGCATATTGCTCAATGAATGAACCTATCCTCAAGTGCAAGTTTGTTCAACATGGTAATGGGCATATGTTTCTACAGAACCCACATATCATGACAGTGTCGTGATACCAGCAGTCTACCAGCAGCACATAAAGATGGTCCAGCCAAGACTGTCTTTCAAGAAATTGCCACTCTGATCTGCTTCCTAATGCAAATGGAGTCTCTGCATCTCTATTCCCACAAGAAAACGCCCAATTTCTGCACTGTCTCTTTCCGAAAGGAGGCTAAGGAATTCACACATGCCTTCACATACCAGACAGATGGTTAAAAGGGAAAAAGTTGACGTGTGTGCACAGCTACACTTATCAGGCGGTGATGAGGACAGAATACACATCCAATGTTCTCCTCCACAAAAACCTAAAAGTGCATTCGCATGCTGTGGGATGCACAAAGGACGTGCAGATAAGCATCCATCGCAGAGACATCTGTTTGCCAATGTGCGCCTGGTGGCACACCAGTTATGCCAGAAAGCATGGCTGCTTGCCATGATCCTTCCCTGGAAGTTCCAGTTCAACCAAGTGTTCTGTGGTTCCTCTTGTTCCAAGCACAAGTCCTATAGTAGAGGCGCCATGCTAACATAGGGCAGATGCACACTGTGCAGAACCTCTGATTGTAATCAAAATTCACCAGAGAACACAGGTTACTTTTGCTGCAGCTCGCCAATCAAGGAAATCCATGGAGGGGATCTTCACATGCTGAATGGTGGCAGCAGCAGCACTCACCTTGAGCCCTTCTTCATACACGGATGAAAACTCTTCCCTCACAGTTCTTGACAATTGGACATCAAATTCCTGTGTGAGATAAACGATCTTCATGTTGTGTTTTGCCTTTACCACTTGTCCGGAATCAGCTTCAATGGCCCCAGAGATGATTTTCAATTGTGTTGTTTTCCCTGTTCCATTCATCCCTGCAGCAGAATCCATGTCAAGCAGCATTGCAAATCAAATTCCAATTTAATCCCATCTTTTGAGGTCGTGTCAATAAAATGTCAACTACAAAGAAGCAACAGAACTGCAAGGCCATGCAGAAATAGACCATTCTTCCTATTTGCCTTTTCTCCTCACAGGGCAATACATCCAAAGGGCTCGGAGATGGCTGCAGCATCGGATAGGAACCAAACAACAAGCTACAGGTGTATGTATCCCACTGTTGGCACACATCAGATCGCAGGGAAGGCTGTGTGAATGGAGTATGTGGCACCAAGTCCTCCATAAAACAGTTTTACCAATACTTAAGTTCTCAAAACCGGATACACAGCTATAACCAGGGCCAAACGAAACCACAATTGCAAACAACAGCAAGAGGCATGCAACCATCAAGCATGGATGCCATTGGACTGCTCCATTTCCAATGCACAGACAGCACACCAATGCTGTGCAGCACTGGCCACTCACCTACAAGGCCTGCCCTCTCTCCCTTCTTGACCTCCCAAGACACTCCTTTCAGGAGTTCACGGTTCTTGAATGTTAAGAAAATCTGCAATGCCACCCCATAGTCAGTTGATGGTGCTGTCAACCTGGAAAGCCAACCTGCATCGTCATGCTATGCACTCCGTAGTAGCACGATATACTGTGAGTGCCCTTCCTGTTAGCACAACGCAATCGCTTCCCCGCCAAACTGAACAGGCAGACAAAGATGTCACCACAAGCCAGGAATTTCCAGCTGTCCTTGTTTGCAGCCTCCCTTCCAACAATACGTTGGAATTTGATCAATATGCATATCACCAGCACTATCTCTAATATAGTAGGATGCCGTTCTTCTGTGGCAAAACAGTCATGTGCACTGTATCGCATGCGAGGCCAGACGATGGTTGCTCAGGAGCCACGACACAGGACATAGGCACAAGCAACATAACTTTTCTGTGGCACATTGTGCCACAGAAAATGTGCAGTCCTTAGGCCCTTGTCCTTGCCCAGTAGGTGCAAGGGCATCCCTATGGCGCTGTGAGAATGGGCAAGAATCCATCAGTGGATTTGGTAGTGGCTCTGCATCCCTTGCAATGAGTCTCACCGGGGATAGACCTGGACTGTTAGCACATTTTCCTGAATGGCGGGGATATTCTTTGTACTAATGGCCTATTTGGGGCAGATACTTCTGTGTGGCTCTGCTTCACACACTGAGAATCCAAAGTGGAGTGCGCCAGTTGACCTTGTTCCCTGAATATGGTAAGCAGCACAAAACAGAACGACCTAAAGTGGCATAGCAAGCATCTCCGATCCTGTGCTCAGACAGTCAGGCGATGGCCAGCTGCCCATAAGGCATGGTGCAAAGCGCCTTACAAGGATGTCAATATGCCAGTTTCGATTTGGCAACTGCAGCAAGACACGAGTTTTTTCAAGGATGCAATGGCACTGATTGTGCTCGCCTCTTGTAAAAAAATGGTGTCATGTTTTGTCCTACGTCCTGTCTTTCCTGTGCACTGGCCTGTCCCATCATCTTTGCATTTATGCAACATTGTGAGGGGCACTGCTTCAGATGCAGCTGCCTGGGAATGCAAGAGAAGCTGGAGGACGGTGAGTTGCTGATATCAGGATGTTTGAGTTGTGTAAACAACACTGTCCTGTGCAAGCACTGTTGCGATTTTGCCTTTTATTTTGCTTCAACAAGTGCAGACTTGCTCAAAACACAGCAGCACCATGTCCAACAACCATGTTTGCAGTAGCCAAACATGACCAAAACATCATGTTGGTGGTGTGAAGGCTGACACATAATGGGTCACAGCACCACGCCTTTAATGGGAGCATGCTGTTGTTCTACTTCTGCTGTGAGGCTGGTGCATATGCGCCCAACACTGCATCGTACTTTCTCTCTTCTCTATTTCAAAGAATATGTCACATTTGGGAAAAACCTCTCCAGACTTGCAGGGTGGGGTTTCTCTTGCCCTGCCATGATAATGGCCTTCACCTGCTCTAGGCGTACGCCAGAGGAAATGCCTGAAGACTTGCCTTTCTCTTTCCCAGGACTGCTGGCCTGCATCCAACCCCAGACACACCTATTCAGACGACAGCCTTTTGGGCCATCGGACTATATGCATACAGACAATGTACTTCCTCCGTCCCAGATGAATTGTTGTCTATGATTTTGGGGCATTATTTCTCCATCATGATCGAACCTGTTTTTAATGAAATTTGGCCTACGGTTGTCCTGTTGAGTTGGGAGTAACCATAAAATTTTCAAGTCAATCCATTAAGTATTGAGCATTTGGCAGTACTTTGCATCAAGGGCTTTTTACATAGTAAATCTCAATATTTGGGGTCGAAAATGACCAAAATTTACCTTCTCCTTGCGCTCAAAAGGTCATGTCTCACTTTTCCTTCATGGAAATTGACAGTCAAGGGTTTTAAGATTCAATCTTTTCGATTTTGACCTTGTTTCGAAATTCTGAGTCTGTCCTTATAGCAAATTTAGCCTTTCAAATAGACGACATTTAATCTGGGACGGAGGAAGTATGTGTTTTCTAGCACAGGATGGAGGCATAGCAATCCTAGTCTTGGTATGTATGTAAGCTCATCGTCAACAACAGCAAGCGCCAGAAAGAAAAGGATCTAACAAAAGATAGAACATCAGTGCTGCAATAGACACCAAAATAATAACAGCTGTCTGGAAATGACAGGCTGTTCATTGTCCACTTTTTGAATTTTACGGCAACAGCTGGATGGCGGAAACAATCCAACAATACAGTACTAGCAGTGCAATTGGAAACGCCTGTTCTTTCGACTAGGAGATGGATATTCGTAGCTAAATCCCCAAAGGCCGTCTGAAGGGCACAGGTGAACTGAGGACTGGAGGAGGCAAATCACGGCATGCTTCATATATGCTTAATGACTCTCCGTGTTGTGAGGTATCAATGGTAGCACTGGAAGCCATAGTAGTAGCCACACAGATCAATACATGGGACCCAAGCCAATGAGCATGTTGCCAAACATCCACATCGCTGAAATCCCACGACCTCTCTGACAGCAATGCCCCTGCTGCCATGAACTTTTGATTTCAGAAGAGATAAGAGCGTGTGACAACGGTGGACTAAGGGAACCAACACCGCCGTTGATAACAATGTATGTGATGGAACAGGACCTGTTTGACATTCATTGTCCTGCGGTAAGGGCTTCTGCTTCATTCTCATGTGATAAAACTAACAAGCACCCAGCTACCCAACCCATCCATAACATCATGCTGCATGTTGCATTTTCCTTTTCCTGCTTTCTCCTTCCAAAATTACATCACATCAAGTACTTCGAAATTCAACTGATCAAAATATCCTACAATGCTATGTTGTTGAATGGGATGCATTTCTTCAAAAATAAATCATGTCACCTAACTCCAGTGTTGCTTTTGAACATGAAATGACACGCATTTGACAATCTCTGCTGATCAAAGCCGATCAAAGCAATTGTACTCTTCGCCAAGACGATAAAAGCTGGTGCTGAGATCAAAAGTCATACCAACCCTGGCAGCAGATGTTACCTGCTGTGCAAGTACCACAGCAAGGGGTGTCCGTCTGGAGGCTGGCCTCCCCAGCGGCTCTAGCAGACCTCGGTGGCAGATCCTGCCACAGCCACAGGTAAACAATGCCTTGTTCAGCAATCCTCTTTGACCATTTTTGTCATACAATGGCAAAGTACTTCCCTGCACTTCTCTCACTGCGCATGCTGCATGGTGTTGAGTGTTCTCACCCTGTCTTAAAATATATCTGCATCTTGAGCCACTAAATGTGAGTCTCACCACCTTGTTTCCAGAAGGGTGTGGCCACTGTAGGACGTGCCTCTCCTTTTCCTTTCATCAGCGAACTTTTTCACTGGCCTCCCAGCAGTAATGTCCATCTATTGCCGCTTCACAATAAAGAGCAGAATGGAATGAACAGTGGTGAAACATTTTTCTCCCAAGTCTTGAGGAAGTACAATGGCAGCACTCTCATCCAAGGTACATGATGCGTTGCACCTATCTCCAAGAGCAAAAAGGGGCTGACACGCAAGTCGGGAAAGCAGCCACCCCTGCGGTTCTTGAGGCATCCAATTGCTGTTGCAGCCCTTTTGCTCAAACTGCGTTCTCCATAGGAATAAGCGCCTTCTAAATCCGAAACCAAATCACTAAGGAGACGACAGTTGAAGGTGCAGGACAAAGAATTGCGACGAAGTCATGCTCACCAATAAGACGAGCCAATCACAGGCAATCCATCCCACTAATTCCCATGTTGGGCAAGGGAACAAGTTTTTGGAGGCTGATTCCACAGCAAAGACGGCGAACCCACAACCGCCCATCGAAATGCGATCAGCAAAGGTCGAAGCTAAACGCAAGAAACACGCCCTGGAAGTCCCACACACGCGAAATCACACACACTACTCTAGCCGTGGAGCTCGAGCCCATCGTACGGCATCTTTCCTTTCCGACGGTCTTTCAGCCCATCCGAAAACTTGCGACACCCCCAACTTGCGGATCCACGACGTCCTAGCGCGCCACGGACCAGCGCCCAGAGCGGCGCCGGCGCCCCCCGGCAGCCGCACAAATCCCTCGTCCGCTCGTTCGTATCCCCAGTGTCCACGCACGGCGCTTCTCCGCCACAAAGGTCCCAAATGCCCGCCTTCGAGCCATTTCTCAGATGTCCAGGGATGCGAACCGTCGTTTGACGCCATGACAAAGATTCACTCCCTTCCCGACGCTCGCGCGAGAGGTCCGCCGCCTGCACGGGCCACGTCCCACTCGAACGTCCGTCGCATGCGCAGCCACAGACGGGCGAACGCCGATCAATCACGCGCACCCTTTAACGCAGCTGGGTCTCCGGCTCCTCAGCACGCACGCCTGGCGCATCCTTATCCCAGAAGGAATCCCTCCGCTCCACACCAGCCCGCCGACAGACCGCCGGTGCAGCAGCGACCAGCTCGTGCCATCCCTGCCGTTCATGACGGTCCGGGATCTGCGGCGAGGTGGATTTTCAAGGGATGAGGCCACGCGACTCGGCAGGGAGGGACGGGTGGGGCGATGGGCGGTGGCGCCTGCACCTGGCGCTTGCCTGCCTCGGCGCGGCGGCGGGGTGGCGGGTGCGCGGGTGAGGCTCCCGTGCAGGGAGGCGGACGGCTGGACGTGAATAATGATATTTCAAAACTGGGACAACGCTTGATGTGGCCTCAAGCCGGGGATTTTTTGAGATTTTCCACCATTCATTCATTTTACGTAACAAGCCAAGGACGTAGCCGTCAACTTCCTATTTACCCGAGCAAAGCAATGCCCATGATCATTTCATTAAAATCTAATGTATACACAAAGATTTTTCTTTTCTACCACGCACGGCGAGCGGTTAGCCAGTTCCCAATGCACACCACTAACGTGGAGACGGAGCCCCTTTATATACCCCCTAATAGTCGCCCTAACGTACGACCAACCAATCAATCCTGACACGTCCCCTTACGCGTGGTCTGTAAGGGAACAGTGTGGTGCAACCATCGCCGTTCCTGGTACGGATCACACATATGGAGAAGTCAATACAAACCTAAAAACCTGATGCCGAACCGCCCAGTCCTGACCCTTCTCCATCCCCATCACCGTCTCTGTATTGCGTGGCCTGCATTGGGAATAGTGTGCTGCGGCACGCTGAAGGGGACAAGGAGACGGGGTGTGGGGGGAGGAGACGGCCTTGATCACATGGAAATGTCTGCAATGAAGCTGAGCATCCCTGATGTCATTTCACCCTTTTTAGCGAATTTGCTTCAAGCAGTGAGGAAATACCAAACCTAAAGGAAAGATATTACTTTCGATTCCTCTCAACATCTTCGACAACAACTTGGTTCCTGTTGTTCGTGAAGGGATATCCTGTTGTCAAGCCATCGGCACAAACATTGCTCTTCTTGACGTTGAGCAAATCGTCACTAAACTCAGGACGACGGTAACGCAATTTGCTCTAGAATGCAGCATTATTTGACCCGAAAAACTATCTGGCACAGGCCGCTGGGCTGCGAATCAAACAGCCGCCCGAATGGAGTTCTATCCGACCCGCACACCACACCGCCTCGGATGTTACGTCGAAGCATGCCTGCGGCACTGGGAAACGCCCCCAAAGCGAGCCCCTGTCAAAGACACACACCACCTGTTCCGGACCCGGTTCGCATCAACTGGAAGTTCTACCCCACATAGCCAGGAGGCCCGGTTCACACCCACAAGTGCCCCCCCTCTGTTCCCCCAAGGAAGACCTCCGTCGCGCGCCTTCAAGAGCTTAGTTCTGTGAAGCCCCTCTGATCTGTCGCCCAGCCACAACCGTTCTGACCAAGGCCGGGCTCCAAAAACATGAGCCTTGCGGACTCGAGCCAAAGCGCGTGCACGGACCACCCCGCCCGGCGCGAGAGGCCCTGGGCCTTAAGGCGCCTGGCGACCTGGTACCAGGAGCGCAAGAGGAGCCGAAAGTTGTCGCGCAGCCCCGCGATCCGTGGGTCATCCCTGGAGCCCACCACATGCTCGAGCACCCCCCGCGACCTCAACCCGCACTTCCAACCCCCCAAGCAGCTGAGAGAAGCCCACGGCTTCTTCCTGCGCATGTACTACGAGAAGCTGCGGGACCTGAGAGAGGAGGCGGCGGGCATGGAGACCGGCGGGCCCAGCGCGTGGGCCTGGGGCGCCACCTGGGAGCTGACCACCGGCGTGCGGTGTCGGCGGCTAGCGGAGGGAATCATGGCGCTGAAGAAGGAGTTGAGGGCCTGCCAGGGGATGCTGGCGTCCGGGGCGGACGACCCGCAGGCGCTGTCCGCCCTCGAGGAGGGCGTCCTGCACGGATTGGGGGAGGGGGCGAGGGGGCAATGGTGCCCCTTGTGCGGGAGGAAAGGCCGCGTCGATGTGGCTTGTGGGGCGGAATCCGAGACGGAGGTCGACAAGGGGACTGGCTGCAGGCAGCGCCCAGGCGAAGTGACGCCCAGCGGACCGATTGGGCTTTCAAAGGAAAACGAAGCAAGGGGTTTGTCGTGTTCGAAGGCTTACAAATGGGGCCTTGGCGGAGAATTCAGGGATAAATGGGAGCTGCTGGAGCCCACATTTTCCAGCTTCACACGAGTTCGTCGCGAAGCGGCTCATTTTGATTGCGGCGAGTTCAACTCCGAAAGTGTCGCTGCCACATTGGTACGTCGCACAATATCTGACCAGAGCTTCAGGCGGCCTCCAAAAGTTTCACTCAAGAATGTTTGGAAGCATCCGCTGGACCCGAGCGCAGGCTCTGCGCCAGTGGACAATCGCCAAGAGGAAGGGGACCAAATCTCTAAAAAGTCCGTGGATGGCATTGACAATCTGCCACAGGCGTCGCGCGCAGACACGAGTGAGGGGCTGCCGCACCCGGAAGGCAAAATCGCCCCAGGGTCAATGGCTCCGAGGGATCCAGGCACTCTCCAGAAAGGGGAAGCCCACGAGTTTGAGGCCGTTACCGCGACGGACAGCTCAGTTTCAAGTGCGGAAGATGCCCCGCAAGCAGTCGATCAGCTGGACACATTGCCCGATCCCAAGAATTCGATCCCGTCAGAGGGTTGTTCAGAGGCAATCAGTCATACTTCTTTGGAAGAGAATCACTGTGCTGTTCCGGAGCTGGGCGCCGCAGCCCATCTCGATGGGGAGGCGTGTGCTCGAGCGCATGGCGTATCAGATTGTCGTGACGCCGACACAAGTTGTGGACCCGCCCACCCCGAGTGCGAAATACAAAATCTATCACCGGCATCTGTCGACGAAGGAGAGGTCAAACGGAGAGGCAAGGTCGACTGGGAGAGTCGATTTCTGGCGGCTTTTTCGCAGCACAAATCATCAGAGGTAAATGCACTGCCAGGCGAACTGCAGGGTGCGCGCAGCGTTGGAGTCGATGCCGCCGAGGGAGCTTCCGTGCCGCCGCGCGATGAGGGCGCCACATCGGTGACGCCAACGGCCGTGCGGCAATTGGGTTGCGAAGATCCCAGTAATGCCATCTCAAGAGACATCACTTTTGCTGTGGGCGCCAAAGCTGATGGATGTGGAGACGCGCCCGCGGTGGACACCGCAACGGGCGACGAAGGTTGCATATCAGCCTCAAGCGATTGGAGAGAAAGAGATGGCAGGCTTACGGAACAAGAATGCGGTGAATCGCAACGGAATTCTGGCCCCGTGGGAGGATCGTCTGCATGTCTGGGTGTCCTGCTGACTGCGCCTGTCCACCACCAAGTTGAAGGCCGCCATAGTGGTTCTGATCAGGCTGCTAGCGAATCCCAAAATCAGCGGGAAGGTGGCTTTTCGGGGGATCTGGCCAACGATGTCCTTGGCTCCGAATCCCAGCCACCCGGGAGCACGAGTTCCAATGATGGTGAGCATGTTCTGCATGATCCACTAGAAAACGTTCCATATGGTGATCCTTTCGTTACGGAACGATGTGTTGTGCATGGGAATAAAAAGGACGGGGCAGCGTTGCCAGGAATAGATACGGATATCGGCGGCAACGCTGGAAGGCGGTGCCTTGCGGAGGTGGGAGAGGAGGTGTGCGGAAAGGAGCAAGAATGTCTTGATGAATCGCCAGGTGAAGTGGAGCCTGATGGTTCACACAAATGCGTGGAAGGCAGTCAACCCGACATCTGCAACCAGCCTGCAGAATCGGGTGTCAAGAGAAGTGCAACGGAAAACGAGGATGCTGGACCGATGATAATGGATATCCATGGAGATTCTCCACAGGAAACACCGCCAGAAGAGCTGCCACATCCATGCAGATCATCAGCGGAAATCAGAAATGAAGTGAACGCGAGTATTGAGGGCGGTGGTGCGCAATACTCATCAAGAGTCGGCGAGGGGTGCCAGCCAACAATCGAACCAACTGTTTGCCAAATCCGCAGTGGAGAAGACGCCGGTGGCGCAAACCAGATTTCGCAGGATCTCACAGTGCCGGATGCTTCACATAATCTTCAACAAGGTGAACCGAGAGAGGATACAATCGATGGCATGGGTGGTGCACAGGATGCCGTTTCTGAGTCTTCGGACTTCTTGAATGAGCCTATCTTGAAGTGTCCGGAAGAATTGAAGTCCCAATGACAGTGAACCTGTAAATTTACAAACATCTTTTGCTCCTTCCGCTGATAAGCAAAGTTTGGTGGAAATGAGGCGAACATTCCGGATCTATCACTAGAGCCAACCGATGTGTTGTATTTGGTATTTGAGAAACGCATGGGAAGGGTTTGCATGCAAACCCCTTCACTGCGCAGTGAAGCTAAGAAATTGTTTGAATGCAGGTGCTTGTATCCATACCTCTCATGACTGAGTGGCAGATTCGCAAAAAGGGGAGAAGTTCTTATCTTGAGCACTACGTCGATATCCGCCCTTTCCGAAATTTTAGCCGCCTGACGGAGAATTGCTATCTAACACCTTTGATATGAAGCCTCAAACTGCCAGGCTGTGCGGCCCGTTCGGACAGCAGTTGACTGCCCACGGGCCTGCTTTCTTATATCGAGGGGCGAAGACAATTACAGTTCAATCGGAGCATTTTACGAAATTAAAGACAGCTTGAGGCTTTCAGCGAATCGAATATACACGCAGACGAGGACTGGCATAACACCAAAATGAACTGCAAGCCGACATGAATTGAAATGCGCACTGCCTCCATGATTGAAGCACGCAAAGCCCCCCGGATTTTGTGCTTGCACAAGTGCTTTTAGTGCGCTCTGATACCAGCACGTCCACAACAGAAATCTGGGAAAGGCGATTGCTAATTCTCAAACGGTTGACGGGTACAGAATCAAAGTTGATTACAGTTCTGCAATCTAATTCTCGATATACACCATGCGGATTGAAGCGCACTTTTGTGGCACGCAATAGAAAGATCTTTCTTTTTCAGAGAATCTGGATGAACTGCCCGCAAATCGGCAGGACTCCCCCACGATGTGGGGCGGATTTCCTTCCACAGCAGCTGGGTGGCTGTGCCA